TCGGCATTCATGCGAAATAGTAGATAGCAGATTAGTTAATAATAATCGAAGCTTTCAAATTAAAAAACATATATTATTGCATAATTACTCATTCACATTATTGAAATCTAGAGAAGATAAGCTCTTTTAAATAATTATTACTTGCCACGTAAAAAAATTAAGCAATCATTGATTCGCTCGTATTTTTATAATAGACGTGAAATACATATTTTTAATATTTAGTACATAGGTAATGAAAATTATTATTATTATTATTATTATATATATATATATATATAATAAGTAAAGAACTTTACCGAATGTAAAATGAAATTATATTCCTTCATATTATAATTTTTCTAATATCATTAACATCAAGTTTTAAAAACCAATCAACTTTCAACGATTTTCACAATAATTATCGATAATATTATAGTTAAATTGATTCTATTAAATTTAAACATAATTATTCATATGCTTTATAGTTTTTAAGCACAACAATAATAATTGTTCTTACGAGATTCTTCACAGTTCTAAAGTCAAGATGTTAATTTTTAAGTAGAAAATAGACATTTAAAAATATTATTGCAATTGAAAAAGTTATTGGTTTAAAAATGCATGTTCAGTCATAAAATTATACATAAATACACATACACGCATCATACATATATATATATATATATATATATATCTTTATATTTTTGTTGTATGCACGGTGCTTTAGATACAAATGAACATTTTAAAGTTTTTCAACACTGTATCATTGGCAATTCTCAATAAATCTTTACGACGTCATTTATAGCGATATCGACTTTATCACTGCAAAAACCGCCATTACTTAAAAATGGACAATTTATCAGGCTTCGGGGAAAGTCATAAATAAATACAACATTGTTTGATCTGACTAAAATGGGAACTTTAGTCAATTTTCAATCGTTGTCTTCATTTATCTCTCATGCTCATGAGTAAAAATATATAATGAGTACATGTAACAAGAGGTCAGTTATTACAAATAAAAAACAATAATATTCAGTCGAAGTATGGGTACGTAACATGCAACATATGCACCGGCAAGTGTAAGAATCGAGGTTCCCAACTTCTTGAAAGCATGAAACTTTCACGCAAGACGCAAGCGACTCAATCATGTATTTAGCTTCGTTCTCTATAACGAATGAACTACGCTTATCTTCTACTTTCTCTAATTCGTCTACGGGGATAGCAATATCCGTTCTCCACAAAATCATGCAACTGTTATATCCAACATTAGAGAGTATCCATTATAAAACAACAACTAAATATTGAAATTCCTATTTTAATGTTTAATTAACAATTGCTTCTATTATTAATTTTTTTTTTTTTTTTTTTTAATCACTTCAATTTATAATGTTAAAATTTATTATTGAATCATTCGACGAAGCGTGCTTACTTAACAAATTATAATTTCAAATAATATCTAAAAATGTGTTTGCACCTGAAACAAATAGGATATGTGTCTTTAAGACATAATAGAATTAATATATTTTTACTTTTATTACTGCTGCTGTTGTTCCTACTACTGCTAATTACGGCTACTACGCCTACTTTTACTACTATTACTACTATTATAATGACTATGGTGATAATAATAATAATAATGTTGTTTTACATGTATTTCATGTTGTAATTATTATTTTTATCGTCGTCGTTGTCGTCGCTGTCGTTGTTATTGTTATTTATTATTTATTATTTATTATTTATTATTATCGTTATCATTATTGGCGTGAGAGTACTTGTTGATAGATTTTGACAACTTTGAACGAATTCTCGGGAATCGAAAAAAATGTTAGATTTTATTCGAGGCTAATCATTAATGAGACAGTTTTTATAAATTATCATGATTGTTCTCGTCGAGCCTTATGAAATAAATAGAGACGTACTTATTTATTTGTGACATCTATAAGTAGAAAACATTGGGTCACGGAATTTTAGTTGTATCTTACAGTAACCCGTCACTATACACCCTATAAAATTCTCTATGATAGCAGCAGTAGTAGCAGCAGCAGCAGTAGCAGCATTAGCAGCAATAGCAGTAACAATAGCAGCAACAATTGCAGCAATAGTGGCAATAGAAGCAATAGCAGCAGCAGAAGCAGCAGAAGTAGCACCAGCAGCACCAGCAGCAGAAGCAGCAATAGCAACAGAAGCAGCAACAGAAGCAGCAGCAGCAGCAGCAGCAGCAGCAGCAGCAGCAGCAATAGCAACAGCAGTGGCAGCAGCAGCATAAGTTAATGCAGTAAGCCTGTGTTTGGTGCGCACGCGTACATTCAATCTACGGCGACTTTTTATTCCAAAAAGCTCGTATCGGCCATATTGGTGTGTTGTATCATTTTCTCGGTGATTTCGGAGTAAAAAAAGGTATTTTCGTGCCATATTCTCTGAATTTTTCACCGCGTCCCTTCAAATCCTCACCCTTGAGTCGAGTCCCTTGACTGCCAAGCGATAATGCATGTCGTCTCGCTCGGGCAAAAAAAAAGTTGGGTTAACGCTGCCACCTTGGCTCTCGCCTATGCACGGGGAAAATGTACATTAAAGGCAATGCTCTTTTTGCTCACGACCCGCAGAAAATTGGGCTCGACCGACTTCTTCCTTTCAATGATATTGCCGCCGGCTTTGACAAATAGTGTAGAACTGACTTCCTCGGTCCCCAGCCCCACACAATATTCTCTGTACCGTAATTGTACATTGACCTTACGAATTATGCGTCTTTCACCTCTGGGCTCTTGAACAGCAGCAGATTTATTTCTACACAGATCGTTGCACGTCTTGACTAAGCTAACCGAATTCATCTCTCGTCAGCTAATTCGTTTACCGGGATTATTCAATATATTTCTCGGAATGAGTTAATGCGTTCGCTGAAATTGACGAGAATTTAAAGGAACTCTTTGTTCATTCTGTTGACTTTAGATCCAAGCAGATTTTAAAGAGAAATACTTGTCTGCTTATTTTAATACAAGTAATTATGTCGATTAGATCTTTCAAAACTCCATTCATTGTTTTGCTATTTATCGCATACAGAGATAATAAATTTCATAATTTTGTACACTTATATTTAAATATCAAAGATAAAATTTGGCGGCTGTGTAATTTAATTATTTCATTAATCGTATCAAATTTTATATGGATTCATCTATTAACTTATTAGTTACTTATAATAAAATATAGAATTTTCAAACTTACAGGAGTTCTAGCATCATGACGGATTCTCTGAAGTTCGGTCCAGAATGGTGATTATCTATTTTTACAAACAATTTCTCAGACAAGACTTTTTGACATGCATAATATAATAAAAATATTAATTTATAGGTTACGCAATTTGGCAGGAGATGGATGCAGTGGAGGCGGAGGCGGAAGTCTCACAATTCCTCGGTATCAGTTGGCGGAGCATAGATACGGTCGAGAAGAGATGCTTGCTCTTTTTGATCGTATGTGTAAGCCTCCAGAGCCATTGTCAAGTTTTACAGCGCTTTATATACCAAAAGCTCAGCTACCATTGGCATTAATACAAATGACAGAGGAAGAAACAGTAAGCAAATTTATTGTACAGAGACGGCAAATTAATATTTAACAAACATACAGCATCTATAATTCTGTTATATTAATAAATTTATAATATAGTATTTCAGTTATTTATATGGCCGATGAATTTCTAAAAATATTATATATACCATATTTTAAGAGTGAAAATTTTAGCTAAATAAATGTAAATAATTAAAGATTTTATTTTATTTTTTTTTATTAACAGTGTTTATGGAGTGGGGGAGGTGGAAATAATAGTGCTAGTCGTGGTAGAGGTGGTAGTGTCGATCGTGGAGGGCGGAATAGAAGTGGAAGAACGGGCGGTCATTATCGTGGTGTGGGCTTTGAAGATATGGGAGAAGGTCCAAGAATTGAAACACAATCATTTCCGGTAAAATATACGCTTTATTTTATTAAATTACTATTTTAATGCAAGGATATAAATATAATTTAATTTATCGATATAGGTGCGAACCAGAGCATTTGATAGACCTCCAAGTGAACGTACCTGGTCAGAACGAAACGGAGTAGATCCGGCTGAGTGGAACGGGTCAACTAGTCCTAGAAAGGATGTGAGTCGTGCTTTAAGTGGCAATTCTCTTATGGAAAGTAATTGGAGGCGCAATCGAGGTGGTGGAGGAAATGACGATGGTTGGCGATTGAATAAAGCAAGAGCTGAAAAATGGAGTAATGAATTTCTATTAATTAGAGATATTTAGTGAATTTGAATATTTTCATGTATTTAAATAGTTAATTCAACGAAAACTAAATATTACTACGAATTAAAAATATATATTTATTGTAGCTAAAGAGAGTTGGCGTGATGCTGATAAAGAACGAGACGAAAAAATAGATGGCGATGAAGATAAAAAGAGAGAACGTTGGGATCATAAAGGGAGTAATAGAGCGTTTGATTCTCATCCACCTCCATTACGTAAAAATCGTTCAAATCATCATGATAATCACGATAATCTACCAGAATGGTAACTATCTTTTTCTGATTTTATATTAATTATAGATACGAGTTTTAACTGACAATTTTAGATATATATTTACTTATATATATATATATATATATATATATATGTCAATGAAAATATTTGAAAGAATATAATTTATTAATTATATTTCATAATCCTAACGTCTTTTACTTAATGATTATAACTAATAAACTTTTTAAACATATTGTTTTAAGAAATGTACTCAAATAAACAATATATTTTTGTATTTATATTAAAGCAACCTAACTTACAAAATCTATTTAAATTATTGCTATTGCTTCAATTAACTTTTGATAAACTACTCATTATTTTTTAAATGTATTAGAATAAAATAAAAATATAATTTTTAATTGAATTGATTCAATAAATTTTTCACAATGAATCTCATCTCTAAATCAATATCCCATAAGTATTTAAGCATTATTTGAAACGATAATTAGAAATTAAATTTATGTTTGATGAATGCTAGCCATTTTTGAATATTCGACAGTCACAAGAAAATTGTATTATAATTCTGTGAATGTTCTGAGTATTATGTTACGAATATTAACGAGAGCGATAAATTTTAACTGAAAAATAAATGAAAAATTTTGCATTAATCATTGAATATCAGGAATGAAATGATACACAGTGAGTTTTACAGGGCGACCGAAAATCCCAGTGAAAGTGGTGGTAGTTTCGATGCCTCCGGAGCATTTCATGGCATGTACTCAGATGACGATGAGGAGCATCCAGATCGAGTGCATCACGATAGAAAGCAACGGGGCTCACGAATACGTCGTGTTTCGGAGGGTAATGCTTCACAGTATAAAAATGGTGTAAGATCGGCTCCCATTATTAGTCGGTCAACAAAATTCGACCGGGCATTAAACGGTGAACGGCCAAAGTCCTTGCATGCTGAATCTGAAGATCAAATTTTACCACCAGAGAAGGAGACGAGACGTAGTTTATCACCAATAAAGTTAACATCAGTTTCCAGTAGTCCCTCTATTAAAAAGACCTCGTCCACGACGAATAATAACACTAGTCAAACTGTTAGTAGTAGTCAACCAGCGACGAACTCCATCGATTCGAGGAAGAAAGATAAAGGAACAAAGCAATTAATACAAGAAAAACCTCAGAAGAATTCACCACAGACGACCACTACAAATGGTGAGAAATTTGCTTATTTAATGTTTTTCCATCTATTATTATTATTATTATTTTTCATATATTACCTTAATTAAATGTCGTAAACTTTGTTATTTTAACATTTATTACACGATTCTTATAATTATTAAAAATATGTAAAATATAAAGTAATTTACTTTTTATAATAATTAAATAACAATGAAAGATAAAAATACATGAAATCGAGTACGAAAATATTCGATCTGCCTCTTATGATTTATTACCGTAGTTTTAAATTGCATTAAGTTGGTGATAAATATTTGATTACTTCGCTTTCGCATAAAACGTTATTGAATTTGAAAAAAAAAAAAAAAAAAGTTCCGCGTTATAATTTAAAATAAGTTTTAGTTTAATAAAATATTATTAATTTTATATTTATTGTTATTGCAAAGAAATAAAACTTATTAATTGTGCAATAATATTTTTTTGTTTACAAACATACAAATTATACGAATTATTAACGTATGTTCAACACTTAAATATGCATGAATTATTTAAATATTTATTTCATGTATTGAAAGGTAATTAAGTAAAAAATTAACTCATATTGGTTTAAAAAAAAGTAATTTATATGCTTTATTTGATATTTAATTAACAGATTAAAAGATCTTCACAATGTATATTATTTTACCTTACAGTGCCAGTTTCTAAAGCCAAATCGAAAATAGAAAGCCCAATGAAAATAGATGATCCAAAACCTAAAACCGAGCGCAATAAAACATCCAGTAAAGCAGAGAACGCCAACAAACTTGAATTGCGAAAGCCCGTGGAGCCGACGAAAATCAAAATATCAAATATTCCACAGCAACAACAGCAACAACAACAACAACAACAACAACAACAACAGCAACAACCGCTACAATCAATACCTCAGCGAGTTCCTGCGGATGTGGGTGTCAACATAATACAGCGGCAAGAGCAAACGGACGACAAACAGAGAACAGAAACAGACAACTTGGATAGGATGGAGGAAGAGGTCGCAAAACTCATTGATGGCGGAAGTCCTCGAGACGAAAAGCCAGCATCGAGTGTTCTGTCTTCGTCGGCGGTCGTCGTAAATCAAACGGTTATCGAGTCGACAATACCGCCAGGCACACAGACCACTACAGTTATACAAGAGAAATGGTATTATAGGGATCCGCAGGGCGAGGTTCAGGGTCCTTTCCTTGCCAGCGAGATGGGCGAGTGGCATAAACAGGGCTACTTTACACCAAATTTACTGCTCAGGAGAACCTGCGACGAGAGATACACAACGCTTGGCGACCTCATAAATTTGTGTGGCAGAGTACCATTTAAACCAGGCACCAATTTCCCTCCACTCAAGGTAAACGCTTCTATTCCTAGTAATTGAGCGTTATGTCATTCCCCAGTGAAGCTCCAGCAATCGAAATTAAATTTATTTTTCTTCCTTCAATTTATGTATTTAAAGTAATTTTTATTAAAAAAAAAAAAAATCCGCCTTTTTATAAATTGAAAATATATTCAACCGCATTTTTTAATTTCACGATAATAGACAATTACTTTATTTGCAATAACTTATGTATATGAAATGTTATGCGTGCATAATGTGTAAAATTAAAAATGTAATTTCGATAATGATCGTTACTGATAATCTTGAACGATGTTCAATAAATCAAGTAAAGTTTTTTTTTCTTCTTTTTTAAATAAAAGAAGAAATATATGTATTATCAACTTCTTAACAAAAGTGTCACTTTTGCCCGTAGCTCTCCGATATGAGAATGTCGCCGAGTGTTGTTGGAGCGGTGCCGAACACTATGCCAGTACCCGGTGGCTTGCCCAAACCGACCCCCATCGATGATCCGCTACTCCTGTATCAGTACCAGCAATACCGACTCCTGCAGAATCAGCAGATGTTCTTGAAGCAGTTGCGTGCGAGTGCCATTGGTAAGCTGTCTCAGTCGGAGCAGTGGGCGAACCTCAGCCCCGTCGAGCAAAATCAGCTGGTATTGCAATATGTGAGATCGATCGATTCGGAAATATCGGAGATGCCACAATCCCAGCCGCCGGCTGTCCCAAGTACTTTTATACCTACGATGCCGCAACCGGCACCACCTTCGAGCTCGGTACTGCAAATCTTTCCCCAACTTCATCAGGTAAATTTTAGTGCTACCCAGACGATCACAATTTACATGTTTAATTACGATTAACTCGTAATAACATCGCGGAAGGTTGGTTTAATCGTATGTTTTTACAAGAGAAAGTCTTACGTATATAATAATAATAATAATAATAATAATAATAATAATAATAATAAGACGTGATAAATGAAAAAGCTTGAATGTAATATCAAATAGTTAAAAATACATTTAATGTGAATAAGCCTTTAGTGTATCTTCAACAGATTCAAATTTCCAGACACTTTCACTCCATTTCACTTTCACTTAATTTGTGGATTATTCGACATTAAAATATATTTAAAATACATCTCTTGGCTTGTATTTTGCTTATAATTCACAATTGTTTAGTTTCAATTGATTTGCAGTATATCTCAACAATATTCCCATTGCCTCTACACGCAATTGCAGTAAATTGAACGTTAATAAATATTAATGATTAATGATTATTTTCTTGCACATAGGCAGCAAAAAGTCATCCAGAACCAGCGCACGTACCCGCGCCCAGTCCCCATATGTCTACTGGTGCAATAGATCCGATCCAGCAACTGATGCAACAAATGAGCGGCATGCGAAATTTGCCGCCCTTACCGCAGTCGACGATCGTTCCAAGTCCCCCACAGCCACAACCCCAGCACCAGCCCCAACCGCTACCCCAACCCCAGGACGACAATCCGATAAAATCCTGGCTTAGGCAGCTCGCCGTCAATAGCAGTGGACATATTCAGCAACAACCCCAGCTGCAGACTCAGATCGAGTCAGTATGGCATCAACCACCGCCTCATCTTACGTCCTTTAACGCGCAAAATTGGATGACGCAGGTCAGTAAAGATGCCATTAATTTACATTTGTTTTACTGCGCGCTGAGGTTTCATAAGTTTCGGGTTATTTAATGGAAAAGCAATTTATCAATTAAATGTGTTTACTTCAGGCTTGAATTAGAATGAAAAAGCAAAGATAATTTATTTCAATTTCAACTGGCCGCCCGAGTTAAATAAATATATAGTTTCGTTTTTCTTATACATTGATTTCTTATACGTGAATTATACATCATTGTAGAGCCTTAATAATAATTATATTAATCAATATTAATTATATTAATAATTATAGCAAATAATTAAAATTAATAAATAATATTTTCAAGTGATGGAGTACTTTGTAATTTTTTATTATTTTTTTTTTTAATAGATTTATTAAATTTAACATTTTTCAAATACTTTATAAACCTATCTTTTATTCTGAGATGTCTGAGAATTCAGATTATGAAAAATAATCATTTTTAACTACTAAAATACTTCTTTTAGAAAATAGAAGATTAAAACTTTTATACTTTTCAAAAGACTTAATATATCAGTAATATCGAACCTCATAAAGAAACCAATTACCAAAGAATATTATTGAACCATTATACTTCTTATGAATTGTATTGTCAAATAATTTTAAAATAATATAACTACATTTTATAAATAGGATTAATTTCGGAATCCATAGATTATCTTATAGCCATTTTAACTAAATATTTATTTAACAAATTAATTAATCAAATGATGGAAAATTAAAAAAGTATTTATTCTTTATCTGTAATTCGTGTATATATATATATATATATATATATATATATATATATATATATATATAATTAATTATTTTTGTACCAATTTATTAGGGAACACTTCGTTAGTTTTATTTTTCATTTAACAAAGATTTATGTTTTATCGGATTTGTCAATTAATATATCGTAATCTTAATTTTTATACTAATATTTCAATACAACCGACTAAAAAGGCTCAATCACATAAATACAGTAGAATATCCTGAATCAATTGCATGTAAACTCACATATTTGACATAAATTCATTTTTGTTTTGTTTTTTTCGATTGTATTTCTACTTTAGAAGTAACATTTGGGAATTATTTCAATATAAAAGTCTCATACTATTTTAATCGAGTTCTATATGAATTTGCACAAATTTGTGTGTGTGTGTGTGTGCACGCGTGTGTAGAAAATTCAATCACTTGAAACAAGTAATCAACGTGCCATTAATATTATCCTGTTTACATAGACTGTGCTTTGGATTTGTTCATGAATGAATCTTGTGTTTACTATACATATACAATTAAGCTTGTAGTAGTTAAGCTTCTCTTTGATAAGCTTTATTATTGTGAGATCAATAGGTATTTAAACTACTTAATATAACTAATGTATCAAAAAATGCCTTGTAAAATATGGATTTTTGTTTATTATTCATTATAAAGCAGTTGATTATAATATTCGACTAGAGGACAATAATATTTTTATTTCATATAAATAAAGGTATTTTTTAAATTAAGCTTATTTATATTCGTGTGCCGTTAGTTTTCCAAATCGTGTGTTAAATTTTGGTATTATACATTAATCCGAATATAATTTTTCAAAATTATATGTTTGATAAGATAATGGACATAAAAAAATTATTTCTTTTTATTACAATTGCAAATGCTAAGTATTGCAAATAAAATTGGTGGCTATTGTGTTGAAATACAAATTTCTTTGGTAAATTAAATAATGTTTATACTTTAGCAATTGAAAATATATATATTTATAAAATATTAATGTTATGTTTGTAAGATATATTCAATTATAAACTTAATTTTATTGCGTTAACGATACATATTCATGTATAGGCTATTAACTTATTCATTTCTCAGATTAATTATCCAATTAAATATCTTATTCTCTTTTAGCAATTTATAACAATCATAAAGAAGAAATTGTACAATTATTGAAAACATAAATAACAAATATACAAATATTTTATCGATTACTTTAAAAATTAACATTTTATGTAATAACATTACCGTTGAACTCAGGTTGGTGCGATTCAACCAACAGTACCTCCTGGCCAACTGCCTGGCTCATTATGGGATATTCATCCTAAGGATATGAAGACAGAGCAACAAATATTGGTATGATATGCAAAATGAATGATAGAAAAATGAATTTATGAAGTAATATGTATAATGTTATACCGGTAAACGTGAAAAATAGTCATATTTATATGCATAAATGACCATTCATACTATTAATTTATATTAATATTTTAAAAAGTTTAATTCTTTTGAACGTTAAAAATATATTAAATTTATGTTTTATTATCAATAAGCTCTTATTTTCATAATGTTAATATTTATTTTATTTACTGTTGTAAAATTTCTAAACATAATTTTGGCTTTTTTTTACAAATATTTTAAAATAAAATACTCGTTTATACGTGTAATTATACAAAAATATTCTAAAACCTTTAATTATTTACTATTAAATTTGTAACTCAATTGAAAGCATTTGCGTTAAAATATCATTTTTATGTATAATTATTATAGGAGGAACAGAATCTAAAAATGCAAGAAGAAAAAAAGAAAGAGGAGCTGCGGAAGAAAGAAGAATTAGAAAGACAAAAGGTCGAACAAGAACGCGTTAAACGTCAGCAAGAGGAAGAATTAGCAAGATTGAAAGCAGCTGAGGAAGCGGCAAAGCGAGAAGAGGCCGAGAGAAAGAAACGTGATGAGGAGAAAAGACGTCTTGAAGAAATAAAGCATAAGCAGGAAGAAGAGCGGAGAAAACTGGAAGAAAGGCGACGTAAGGAAGAGGAGAGGAAACGCGAGGAAAAGCGAAAACAGGATGAAGAGCTGAATAGGAAAAAGCAAGAAGAGGAAAAGAGAAAACGCGAGGAAGCCCAGAGACAGGAGGAAAAATTAAGAAGAGAGGAGGAACAAAGAAAAAAATTGGAAGAAGAGCAGAAGAGGCAGGAAGAAGAAAGATTAAGGTATATTTATTGCGTTTAAAAATAAAAATAACATCGTTTTATTATAATTATCATTGTATTTTGTAGCTTTGTAATTAATTTTTATTTATAATTTGAAATCTTAACAACATTTTATATCATATCTTATAGGTTTTCATTACTAAATCATGGTTTTTAATTAAAATGACAAATAAAAATGGAATATCTTAGTTGTAGATTAAAAAAATTACATATAATTGGAAATCGAGATTATCGATAAGAGAGAATACGTAGTATTGTAATAAAATTGATAAATATTATGTAGATTTTAAATAAGTTTTTCAAAGTCAGTGTGATCGAATTTAAAAAAAAAAACAACAACTCATTAATATATATGTTGTTAACGCGAATATAAGCTGAGCATTGAGCTTGAACATTTTACTCGAAAGTACTATATAAGCAATACAACAACAGTTAATACTAGAAATACCAAAATTATATTTCATATATAAAATATTCAACTGAATTTTTTTTAACAATACTAAAGCTTAACAATCGTCAAAGTAAGAGTGCCTCGACTTTCATTACCGTAATTGTAAGCATATATTGTATCTCTCATTAAAAGTAAAAAAAAAAAAAAAAACACTACTCACAGAAAAGAGGAAGAGGCCCGTAAGAAATCCGAGGCCGAGGAACAAGCGAGAAAAGCCGAGCAAAGACGAAGAGAGGCTGAGGCGCTTCGGAAATTACAAGAACGCAGTAAGGCTCCCTGGGCTCAAGCTCCTCCTGCACCCCCACCAACTGCCCAAGCCTCTCTAGCCGAGATTCAAAGGCTTGAAAGAGAAAAGAAGGCTGTAAGTATACGCTTTTGCAAATTTACACTCTCCACATTGGTGCAACAGTGTCCCGTGCTACTATTTGAATTAAAATTACAGGAAGATTTGCGGCTTCAGCAGTTGCTACAACAGCAGCAATTGGCCCAGCAGAAGGCAGCCGAAGCAGCTCAGGAAGCACTTACAGATTCTGCCAAACGTTTGCAATTTAAATGGGCCGAAAAGGCCGCTCCCATTAATAATATGAATCAGGTGAAGAGCCTCGCCCAAATTCAACAGGAAGAGCAGGAGAGAGTCGCCAAAGTTAAGGTCAATATCAAGTAAAAAAAAATTATCAACTAATTTTCTTTATTCGAAATTAATTTTTGCTTTTCAATTCCAATGGCCTCATCTTATTACTGTTAGTTTCATCGTATTATGCAGATATTATATGCAATTGTACCGTGAACGAAAAATGTATTACCCTGCTTCTGTAAGATGCTTTCGTGCGAGCCAAACTTTGCCAAAAAAAGCATTTCGTTTTTATTAAAATTGAAAAGTATTATTATAAAGATTAATATTAAGAACAATTAGTCTAATTTCAAATTACTTTAGCATCAAGAAAGAGAAAGACAAGAAAAAGAGAAGGCCAGTCAGAAAGAGGCAACTATTACACTGCAAAATGTCAGTATTTGGGGTACGGCATCTCAGAGTTTAAATTGGTCAAACACTTCAAACTCTAGTAACCAAATTTATGGAGCTGGTGGGGGCTTTTGGGATGATTTGACTCCAAAAGTTAACACCATTGCTCCAAAAATGGTTAACGCCGTAAGTTCTAAGACATCGATAAAGCAACAGACGACCGCCGCCAAATTATCTCCTCAGCAGAATCAGCATCAGCATCAGCATCAGCATCAGCAGCAGCAGCAGCAGCAGCAGCAAAATAATAAAATGGTGAAGAATAAAAACAAAAAGGAAGAGGAATTGGTGAAGAAGCTTTTTGAACAAAATACTGCCAAAACTGATGATTTCACCCAATGGTGTAACAAAGCTTTGACTGGTCTTCAAGTATCAGTAGATAGTTAGTATTGCAAATTATTATTTACACAATGTCGTTAATAATCAATAACTCGCTTATTCTATAATTCATTATTTTTACAAAATTTCAACATAACAATACACTTATCAAATTGTCTATTTACTAATTCAAATGATAAATAATTTACAAATGAGTAAAAAAAATTTTTAATCATTTCTTAATCTTTGTTATTGAAATATTTTACATAGATTTTTTTGAGGAATAATTTATTAAATCGTGAAACGACGAAATTTTTCAGTACCTACTTTTATTGGCTTCTTACGCGACATTGAAGCAGCATATGAAGTTAAAGAATATGTACGTATGTACTTGGGCGATGGTAAACAATGTTCTGAATTCGCTAAGCAGTTTTTAGAAAAAAGAAGTAAATGGAAATCGTCTCAGCGGCCACAGACACACGCAGATGATTTATGTAAGCCAGCTCCTGCTGTTAATCCAAATACTTCAACGGAATTTCAAGAAGTAAAGGTACGTTTAAAGCCGACATATAACACTTTGATTCATGAATAAATATTATTAACGAGACTTGCCGTATTGTTTATGAATATTCGAAAGTAAAGATTTTCTTATTTATATAAAAATTAATATATATATATTTTTTTTTTTATAAAATTGAATGTCTGTACACGAAGATTTGAAAAAATTAATATGAAATTTGATGTATGCTTGTAATGGAAAATTCAAAAGTATTTTAAAGTATTATTAAAAATTTAATCAAGTTGAATTGTTATAGACATTTACCTGACACGCACACACACACACACACATATATATATATATGAACACGTGCGCGCACACTATAAAGCAAACACAGAAATAAAGTATTTATCCTTTATCGTCTCGTTAAAATGATATTTACGTTTGATTTATGAAATATGTTGATTCATTGGAATTCTTTATAAAATTTTCAGAATAAATCCAAAAAACCGAAGAAAGGCAAAATGTTTAAAGTAGATAGTAAAATGCTCGGTTTCAGTGTTATGTCTGCCCCAGATCGCATCAATGTCGGAGATCGTGATTATGCAGAAGGCGTATAAATAAGAGATAATTGGATCTCGAATGTTTAATTTGGAGAACTGTTCTTCATAACTTTGGTTCGTCCCAAAAGAAGTTTTAATTTATTTTTCTTGTATTCTATTAGAGGCAGGATTGTAAATTTCTCGACGAGGATACTCCGCTAACCATAAAGATTTTCTGTGAAAACTTATAGGGAGACTCCCAAATCTATTCTTGGATTTCAAAATGTCGAGAACTTATAAAACCTACTCTTTTTATTCTTTCTCTCAGATGACAAAAATTATATTAAATTTTTTCAGAATGCACACGCATATACGCATTGAATATTGTTAATTAGATGAATAATTGAGCGTCGGTGAAAGAAAGTACACTTCTAGTTGATAAGATGTTTTTTCCTAATTCTCTAAATGAGTCTTGTTTCCTATTATTCATCTTCCGTTTATTACACAAAAGTATTTAAATTTAAGCAAGTTCTTTAATGCTATTTAAATTTTTTATATAAAAATTTGCAAAACTTGAGCGTGCTTTAAGCACGAAGATCTTTGATATGACGATTTGCATATATTAAAGTAAGTTCTAATCATTATTAACATTAATCATTTACTCCTGATAATTATAAGGTGTACATAAGTTTATGCAGTTTGTCAATTTTCATACATCGTTATTTACATTTTTATTTTAAAAAAAAATTTACAACAAATGTAAACATTGTCTGAGATATCAAATATCTTTTTGAAATTTAGCAAGTGTTCTTCGCGTACTTGTATTTTTGTTAACGAAAATCACTTTAAAGTCTTAATAAAGAATGTATTTTCATCGGAAGAATAAATTGTGAAAATCATAATTGATAAAATATACCATACTAATTTTAAATTTATATTTAAAACAAAAACAAAAACAAAACAAAAAAAAAACAAAAAAGAAAGCATTTTGATAAATCGTAATAAGAGTAAAATAAAACTATTTAACTACTTATAGTAATTTATAAAAAAAATATAGTTTTCATCCGAATTATAAATTACACGTTGTTGTGAATGTCATTTAAAAAAAAATTTTGTATTTATAATTTAATCCTTAATTTAAATACTGTAAAATCTTGTTTTACTCTTGTTAAGATAACGAAATTTAATATGCTCCGTTGCGATATGTACATGATATTTCCTTTTATAATTTATGTACCATTTCATTTTTCAGCAATGAAAAATGATTATGGGTATGTCCCTGTAAAATCTATTTTGTTATAAGCAATGTAAGTGTATGAGCTGTGAAATGCACTTTCAAAGCGTCTATGCGAAAGAAGTCATTTTGCGTAAACTCATTCTTTTCGACTACTATGACTTGTAAATATGCCGATAAGTTAACAGACCCAATAAGAGTCGACAAAATTAGTTTGTATGGTAAGTAAAAGAGAAGTTAAATACGAGCAAATATTGAAAATCGATGATCTTTACCGCGAGTTAGGCAATTCTCGTTGTAAACGTCGACTTTCATTTGAAATCTGCTCGTTTGTAATGTAACAATTGTTGAATTAAAGAGCATTGATTTTTCCAAACATTTTATTAAATAAATCAATGATCTTTGAAGATAAGAAAGATTTATGTATAAAAACAAATGTACAATAATACAGTGATGATTAAACAAACAAAAATAAATAATGATTGATATTGTATCAATATTATCTTTATTATAATTATAATTATTACTGAATGTAACTTGCATCATGGCAGAATAAAATGTTATTATATTTTCGATCTGGCCTTTTTAATTTTGTTGAATATTTTATTACATTTCATTCGAAATTCGATTTTCTTCTGTTAAAGTATAATAAAATAAATTTAAGCATTATGTATAGGGATAAAATTTATAGGCATTATACATATAATACAAAATGCAAATATTTTTATTGTCACTTATGATCGTCAACAATTCTTTAATAATAATATGTAAATACCACGTTTCAAAACATCAAACGGGAATGAAAGTGTAAACATCCATCAATGTTTTTTTTTTTTTTTGTTTTTTTTTTTTGTTTTTTTTTTTTACATAATTTACATTTAAAGCTTAGACTTTAAATTTTTACCTTGTATGTAATTAAATAACGAGTAAATCATCAATATAAGTTATAATGAATGTACCATATATGCGGTAATTGATTTTATCGACGTATTATGTTTATATAGATAGATGCAGTAAAATGACTGTAGTGCTACGTTGAAGCTTATATGTTTGTAAATGTAATTATAAAAGACTTATATAGAAGAAAGAAAAAAACCATGATATAGCAATTTCAATTTTTCGACGATACAGGGCACTTTTCTTCTCATTTTTGTATCGACGATATAGCTTGGAAAAGAGCTAAAATTTGTATTTTACAAAATAATGAAGCGACAACTGTATTGTAATAAAATTCGTTTGACAAAAATATCTGATTTTTTATAAGTGTAGATATTAAGTTATTACGAAAACTATTAAAAACAAAAAGATAATATTTAACGATTGATAATGAGATTTTGTGCTAAAAGTATTTTATACTTTTATAATGTCTGTACATTTGATATTTACATTATAACTAAAATCTGATTGATAATTTTAAATTGATACTTCAACTAATTCTATTTATTCTTCCTAGCGCGAACTAATTTATTTACCTATTGATTCATGATTTTTCTGTTCGTTTATCTTCGCTATAAGATCTAAGTTAAAATTAACTTAATCTTCATCCAAATTGCTTTTTCCTACTTTGAATTTCTTGATATCACATAGCTTGTCGTTGCATCCGTAGTCTTTTGCTATATCGATGAACTAAAATCATCAATAAAAAATAAATATTTTCTATTAATTTAATTAAATGGAACGGAATTTTTGTAAATATTGTTTTAAGTCAAATGAAAGTTCTTTAAATTTATGTTGAAATTCCTAAATTTTGTTTTAATTCTCTTAATGTTTATTATTTAAAAAGAATAAAAATCAACATCAATTTATTAATTATTTACAAAAAAAATATAACGTGCATTATTTTTTAATTAATTTAATTATAGTAAATATTGCAAATATTGAACATTTTATTAATATTTAAACAATATTATATACAACAATGTTAAAATAGTATAATATTTAATACTATTTATTTTGTATACGCAAGTTATTTCCAATGATACAAATACTCGAAAGTACAAACCTTACGAGGCACAAAGTACTCCAAGAAACAGAGAACAATATAGCACCAGGATACAACTAAAAGATAAGGCCAAACATTACTCCTTACATAACTTGAAAGTTGTTTTCCTATATTCCTCTTCTCCTTGTTCTGAACACTATTATAAACAACTTCTGTTCTTTTGGTAACGTTGTGCCAGTTATAAAACGAACCTATTCTTTTATGTATTTCAGTAGGACAAAGTACTTTACCAGCATGGTGATCTGATATAGCATGCTCGAGGCCTTCGATTAAAGCAGAAACATTTGGTTCAACCAAATAAATTAGATCCGGTGGTAACACTTCTGGAATTCCACCAACTTTGGTTGAAACTATTTGTAAGCTTGAAACATAAATTTTATAGCTTTTATATATTTCAACAGTACGTACCGTAAGAAAAATATTTTAAGATGATAATTAGTTAATGTTAAATACTTGTTTTAAGCACTTGTTACACAAAAAATATTCAAAAACATTTTCCACGGCAAAATATTAATAAAATACAAAATTATACGATAAAAAAATGATATAGTTTAGAAAATAATATCAATTTTTATAAAATTAATATAAACATAATTTATGTATATTTAACTTAACTAAATATGCCCTTATAAATATATATATATATATATATATATATATATATATATATATATATTTATTTATCTATTTGGGAAAATTGAGAATAATATATAAAATAAAATATGAATTGATAAAATATATTAATATTTATTACCCACATGACGCAGCTTCAACTATAGCCATGCAATAAGCTTCGGTGAGACTTGTATTAAGAAATATGTGGCCTTTGTTCAGTAAGTGTTTTACTTGTGAATGTTCCAAGCTTCCTAATAATGTCACTCTATGTTGCAACAAATTTCTTTCTCGTATTTCCTCTATCAACCATCTTTTGGGACCATCACCTCCAATGAGGAATTGCACATTTTCATAGCGTGCGCATATTTCTGGTATTATATATGCCAAAAAATCTACACCCTTTCGATATACTAATCTAGACACTACGACTATTGTAACTATAGGAAAAATTTTATCACTTAATGTTATAAAATAAAAATATTGTTTGCTTAAAATTATATCGAGAATGCAAAACGTACGGTAATCTTTGTTTCTTTTACTAATATCGGGAGTAAATAAAGCTGTGTCTACAGCATTTGGTATGACAGATACTCTATCTTTACAAACTTTAGCTCTTAAAACAGTATTTTCTTTTCCCGTATGAGAAACACATATACAGTGATCGCAGTCAGCTAGAGATATTTCCAGACACTTATTTGTTAAAACAGCAGACGCATCAGCAAATCCAAATAGCGAATGATCTGTAAAAACAGTCTAAAAATTGGTATTAATAACTTTTATACGATAATATGAAAACATAATACAAGTGTAAAGAATGCGCTTTAAGATTACAACGTTTTTTATTAACTATATAAATTATTGCTATAATTGTAGGATTAAAAAAAAAAGAAGAAGAAAAAATGAAAAAACAAGAACGATAATTCTTAAATAATTTCAATTGAAATATAGAAATAAAAATATATACCTTTAATCCCATTAAATGACCGATTAACATCCCTTCATGCGCTAAAGCTGAAAATGCCGAATGACCATGTACAATTTCAATTTGCTCTCTTATAAAAATATATCTAATTAGTGGAATGGAGCAGACCATGGTAGGTAAGACACATTGATTGTAGAATACTTTAATTGGTAAATAATAGACTTTTAATCCATTTGTCATATACCGTATTCCAACTCTATTACCATAAGAATGAGTCAGGATAACCACCTTGTGTCCACGATCCAATAAACATTGAGACAAATTGAAAATGTGCTCCTCTACGCCTCCCATATTTGGATAGAAAAAATCGGATACCATACTGACGTCATAATTTATATAGTTATCAAAATATTTTCTTATAGTTAAACGAAACGTTTAAGTTATATAATCATTGATGTAAAGTCTTTAAACCTTACCAAATTTTATGTTTTTGTTCATCCATAGTCAAATAATTTTGATAAATTATGCATGTTCCATTAAAAATTTAGAAAAATCACACTTTCAATATCATTTTCACAGCTGATTGTAAAAGCAGGAATTAATTCAATTACATAAAGATACATTTAAGCTAATGAGTAATTTTAATTCAGTAAATGAGTCATAAGACGAATTTGTAATGCATAAGCGGTAAAGTCACTTGTACTTCAAATGTACTTTTAACTTGAAATGTTGATGTAATTAACTTTAACCGGTGCTAATGACTTCAAAGTATTTTTGTCCCAATGATATGAAGTATTCAATCATCACATAAAAATTATTATCTTATAAAACACTATATTGCACATATGTCATAAAAATTCATATCAATACAAAGTACTTAAATTAAAAATTTACACGAATATAAAGACTGTGTATTAAACATAAATATTATTATACTTTATAATAATGTTTTCAAATACTTTTATTTTTATTTAAAAAAATTTACACAATACAGAAACATTGTTTTATCTTTCTACAAAATTTATAATTATCGGTAAACGCACAGGCAAAAATGTGTTTTGCTTTTAATAAGCGAATTGACACATGGAAAATAATACCACAGAAATTCGAGTTTGATAGTATATAGGCATGCCTGGACGTATTAGTGTGCGTGCAACTGCGCGTGTGTGCGGCACGTCTGTATATATTTCATTTAAATGCGAGCCAAATACGTCTCTAAGGGAGCTCTAAAATGGTTAATCATTAAATAAATAAGTAGAATTTGTATTTAAATAATTAATGCGTGAATAGATTAATGACTGTATAAAATAATGATATAAAAAATAATTAATAATAGATGTAAAATTCAACTTCAAAGGTGGAAAATTATTAGTAACCTGTATTTCTCCATAATAAATAAATGTCAATAATGAAATAACAATATAATTAAAAAGAATTTATTATAAAAATACATACTCGCCCATATATATATATATATATATATATATATATATATATATATATATATATATATATATATATATATATATATTGTAAGAAGTTTAGTTCAAATGAAATAACGTCTTATTCATAAAGCTTGGACTAATATTATCTTTATTGATGTATTGAATGTCATTCGATAGAGCTTAATCGTTAGATTAATTATTATTTCGAATAAATTGAAAGATTACATTTTTATACGTAATAAGGTGTATTATGAAATCTGTGAATATTTATATATTTATATATATATATATATATATATGTATGTGTGTGTGCGTGTGTGTGCGTGTGTGTGCGTGTGTGTTTGTTTGTGATATGTAATTAATAATTGTTAGGATTATTATTATTATTGTTGTTGTATTTGATAGAATTTGGCCATTTGTCGACATTACATTTCTATATAATGTATATTCAAAATTTGCCGCTTAAGCTCATGGGCGTAAAATAAGAAAGATCAAATTTTATTGAAAACTGACCTTTCAAGCAGACGGTTTTTCTTTTTTCCACTCGCGTCAAAATGTTAGTGTGTTTGTATTATGATTTCATAGACGTCGTTCGTACGACATTGAAAAATTATGACAACCATAGTGCGAGTTTACGCGACTTTTTCAGGTAAACTTTTTGCACGTATGTAGGAATAAGAATCTTCCTTTGAGGACGAGATTTAAGTAATTTTGGAAAAATGCAGATAACTGTAGTTACAAGAAACGGGAAAAATTTTAATCGAGTGCAAGCGAAACTAGAAGGAGTGCGTCATCACATATTTTAGTTAATACAACGTCAAAGTGGTGAAAGTTACGCGCCTTCATAATTTAATAATAGTTGCGACGTAGTTTTTCCATGAAAGGATTGAGAACTTCCATTATACAAGAGAAAAAGAGAACCGAATTTGTAATCATGGAAGATTACAAGTTTCTTTTTAAAGTTGTGCTTGTCGGTAACGCCGGCGTTGGTAAAACTTGCCTCGTTCGACGATTTACACAGGTAATGATTATCTCTTCTGTCTTACAATTTTTTCCAAGCTGACTTTTTTATCGTTATTATTTATTCGTAAATTTATACCGTTGCTTTAATGGAGGAAAGAAATCGCAAGTTGCGTATGTGTTTAACGCTTCGTGACTATTGTTGAATTATTCACTTGGATATTTCGAACTGTAATTTGCATCCATAAATGGAAAACCTAAGTTCATAATTTAAATTTTACCTTAATAGATAATTTACTTTAGATTTAAATTAATTATTTCGTTTGAGAAGAGTTTTGGCTTTTTATTTCACTTAATTTAAGATTTTATTTAAATTCTGTCTAAGCGTATACAAAAGATGCATAAAATTATACAGATATATTAAAATTTTTCGTCCAATTCTTATTTTATTAATTTTATTAATTAATTTTATTAATAATTACATATAATTCATATATTACATTTTCAATATTAATTGTCACACATTATTTTTCAGGGACTTTTTCCACCTGGTCAAGGTGCAACAATTGGCGTTGATTTTATGATAAAAACGGTAGAAGTTGAAAACGAAATAGTTAAGGTAATTTATTCTTTATCCAAATACATTCGTATAATTCTTGTGCAAAATAAGAGAAACAAATCATTTATATTACTAGTAAATTCAATGGAAAATTTTTTCCATAATATATCCTCCATATAAATACCATATCCAATAAATCAATAAATTATAATTCATCACACCGTTTCTGATAATTCTGTTTCTAGTTACAAATTTGGGATACTGCAGGTCAAGAAAGATTTCGTTCCATTACTCAGAGCTACTATAGATCGGCTCATGCATTAATACTTGTTTATGATATTTCGTGTCAACCAACTTTTGACTGCTTACCAGATTGGCTTCGAGAAATTGAAGAATACGCTAGCAATAAAGTATTAAGGATATTAGTAGGAAATAAAATTGATAGAGAAGACAGAGAAATTCCAACACACGTAGGAGAAGATTTTGCACAACGACATGGAATGTACTTTTTAGAAACTTCAGCTAAAGAAGCTGAAAATGTAGAGAGATTATTTATGGAAATTGCAGCGGAACTCATGGAGGTTAGTACAGAAGTTATATTTTATAATATAATATATTTACTGCTCGAAAACATACTATTTATTAAATGTATTCTTTCTAAAAATATTAAACCTAGTACCAAGTAAATTTTTCTGAAAATATCAATGATCAACAATGATTAGCCTTGAATCGATATATAATTTTTTATTGTTCTATTTAAATTATCTTTATCCACATTGTACATTAAAAAAGAAAAAAAGCAGTCAAAAATGTTCGTAAGAAAATTAACGAATATTCATGTTATTATTTATTTACAGCAAGCACGATGTAAAGAATTGCCAAGATATGAACAAAACACAACTTCTTTAAATGGCAAAACAACATCAATAGGTGATGCTGGTATTTGCGGTTGTAGTAGGTTATCTTAAATTAGCAATTCTTCCAATTTTTATCAAAATTATATAAATAAGAAAAAATAATGAATTAAAGTATTCGTTAATCAAAAGCGTCAATGAGTGTCATTGGATAAGGAAAAGAAAATCCATGAATCATTCAATTTGTGATTTTTAAGTGCATTGCAATTATTATTTGAGTTGCTATTTGTGTAAAATATTTTGCTACTTAAAATTATCGTGCATACAATCAATAGAAACAATATTGTGAGAATTAAAAGGTTTTCATATATTTTTTTAAAATATAGATTTATTTTTCAATTTAAATATTGAGAAAACAATTACTTTTTCTACAATTTTTATAATTACGCAAAGCAGTTTCTTAATTTGTTAATATTAAAATGTACTTTATTGATACTCAGTATGTAGTTAATTATATGCAATGTTAATAATTCTTTATGATTGAATTTTTAGAAAATTCTTAATCGTTGTGGAAGCGACGAATCGTTTCTCTCAGTATTATATTAACGATTTCACATTGTAGTTAGTGAATTCTATAATTCTAATTTATTCAAATAGTCAATTAGACGTTTCTCATCGTTTAAGACAAACTGCGACTTTAGGAAGAGTTCTAGTCTTTGCGAAGATATAATAGTGGCTTATGCGATAGTACTTGGCGTTGGCTTTTAAAACTAATCGTTTATTTAAACTTACTATTCATAAAAGAATCAATAAATATAAACAAAGAATCACATTTAAAGTATAATAATAGTTAGTAATGCTTTTTCATAAGAATCGTGCAATGATGAATAAATAATTTAAGTCCTTATATATTAATGGAAGTCTATCTGGGTCCAAAAATATTTATCTATTGGCCTATGGTAATGATTCATTATTGATAAACATCATTGGGATTTTTATATATGATTTAGTAAGAAAATTATTATTATTATTGATTGTTTTCCATATTTCTTTCACTAATGGAATTCTTAGTTATTCTGGTATTACGTTAAATTGTATGGTATTATATATCGTCAGAAACGAATGGATATTTCATTAAAATAAAAAACAAAATTAACTCATCTGTAATAATGGTAACGAGACTGATTCATTAATACTAGAATATTCCATTTTTACGAGCAATAAATGTTAACTTTTCTTTTGTTGTTTTTATTCTTTTTATTTTCATATTTAATCGACATGATATTTACAATGCTTACGCAATTTTCGAAAAAAAAACAAAAACAAACAAACAAACAAACTAAAATAATAAGAATAAATACATTTGCTGATATACTTTGAATTGAAAGTTTCTTTACGATAATAATTATACTGGAATTAATCGATACATTTTAACAACCAAATGAACCGTATGAACGGTTTCAAAATATTTTTTTCCGTTTCATTTAAATATTGACGGATTATTATTACTAATATTTTAAAGTCGTTTTAATTAAAAATTATAAATTATAATGTGTTCATTATTACATATTATATAGGAGGAAAAACAACTAATATCTGCAAAATAAATTATATCTTAAGTAACTGATATTTTTAATAATTAATTATCGGAGAACCATAAAATTAATTAGAAATAAGAATGAAAATAAATGTATGTATTTTATTTAGGAATCCCATACTTTCATCGATATTATTGTATATTACGTTTAAGAATTAAATTTTTTGTTTTCTTTTCTTAAGATTTTCTAAAAATCTTGTGAGATTAAAAAGTATTTATGAGAAGTTTCGTTTTGATGAAAATTTGTAGATATAAGCCTCGAAGGTGATTTGATATATATATATATATATATATATATATATATATATATAGTTTCTTTTTATCTTTTAAAGAATATATCAAAGTAATTGTATGTTCGAGAATATTCATTTTTCAAGCTGACAGTCTTCTCTTCTCTTAATACTCTTTTATATAATTCAATATATACTCTTTTCTTTAATAGACGAATATATATATAAAGTTTAAAATAATATTTAACTTAACATAAATAAATTTTTGGGACCTGAGATGTTGAATATAGACAAGAGATGATGTATTTTCTACAAACTTAAGAACGGAGATTAAATCAGAAAATTGAAACATCTCAATAAGAATATTCTTTGTTAAAATTATTGATTCAATAATTAAGATTTAAGTTGAGTTTTTATTCAGTTTAAAAAACTAGTTGAACTAATTAAATATATTTTAGATACCTGTTTATAAAAAAGGAGATTGCAAAGGACGTAATGAAAAAAGACAACCACAACATTTATTACTAAGGGTTTTATTTGAATTCCCAGTGTTCACAATAGTAGTTATATTGGAATTTGTTACGTATTATATTTTAATTTTCATTATAACGAAAATTTTACTGCATACATTTTATACAAATTATTTAAGTCAGTTGTGTAAAATGTATAATCATTTTTTATATAGTAATTTTAGTTAATGTATTATGTTACAAAAATAATGCAGTTTAAAATTATTGATATTATATTGGAAATAACTTATTTTTAAATATCACAAAATTTTATTTAATATTTAAATATTCATGAAGTGTATTATTATGTACAAATAGAAACGTTGTTTAGTTTTAAGTGTTTTAATTAGGTACAATTAAATATCCGATACAAATTAATCATCATTAAAAAGAGAATTATTACCCTTTTATAAAACAAGAAAAAGTAATAGAAATATTTCATGTAAAAACATTAATAAATTAAACATATCAACTCCCAGAAAAGTCTCAATTTTTTACTTGTAATTCGTAGCTTCAGCAAACCATATGTTATAATGCTCATTGTAAAAATGTACTTCACTTTGTAAATTTTATGTTACGATAAAGCGCTTTTCATATTATTAATTTGACACTCTGATATTACAATTAAATCAATAATTAAAACAAATCCATTTGTCGCATTAAGGAATTTATTGTAATGTGGAAGAATTTGATAAAGCTAAAGTTAGAAGTTTCAAATAAAAATCTTACGAAACAAAACAAATAGTAATTATTATTGTAATTATTGTAGAATTTACCTTTAATATATATATATATATATATATATATATATATATAATATCAAATTGTATAGATAATAATAAAAATATAGAAAATGTTTTAAATCGCTGCTGTACTGTATTGTAAAATATTATTTAAGTGTTCCATTTATCTTAAAATTAATATATTGATATTATAAATTATGATAAATTATTTTAAATAATCGAAGGCAGCGACTCTTATATAATTTCAATTTTTACTCTTTTACATAGAATAAAATTTAATTAAAATGTTTATTCGTATAGAAAAGAAGAAAAAAAAAGATGCTTACTTTCAAGTCTTTTAGAATTAAGAAAATGTTTATTTTTACTAATTATATTTGTCGTCTTACAATTATATGTGTTTTATTATAAAAAAAAATATGTATAAAATAAATATAAATGATGGTTGAGCATAATTATGTATCGCAACAAACGTATTTCTAAATTACATTTCAATGTTTACACTGGAAGTAAAAAATTGCTGCTTATAAGAAATGAGAAAACTATTGAGTGACCTAGAAAAATTTCACTCAAAATATATCTTTAAAATATTTACAAATATTTATTATACTAATCCTAAGATGTCGATTGTAGCTCTTTTATCATTGTCAGGCTTTCGCCCGGATTTTATATTATTTTAAACCTGAATTTAAATCATGAGCAGATCAAGATTCTTTGATCTAAATTCTTAAAACATAACGCGATATAGTAGAAATTAAATGACGAACAGTAGAATTAAATGTAATATTAAACTTAACGTATTAAAGTAAAATATTTTATAATATATATCAGCCAGTTTACATTACCTTAGCGAGAATATAGTAATCGTATAATTATAATAACAAAGAATTTAATATGAAAAGACAACGTGAAAATTAACACTGAGCCATTGTTAATTCAAGTTATTAACAATGTCTGCCCATATTTATGATGCGGATGACAAGCCTAAGATAAGTGGCTTATTATTCGCTAAACTTCTAGATGATTCTATAAACTACTGATAAGAAAATGGAAGAAAGAGGGAAACAAGTATTAGTTCAATCATTATCTGTAACCTTGAAATAGAAAGGCCCGTAGCTCAAAAAAAAAAAAAAAGAAAAAAAAGAATGTTTGTCCCAATCAAAGCGAAAGAGATTTAGAAGTCGATTGAAGAGTAAGAGAGAGAGAGAGAGAGAGAGTAAGTGAACTCGCTACGCCAACTATCCTTGTCTCACATTTTCCGACGTACTTCCATAGGCAATTTTACGGTTTCGAATGAAAACATTATTTCATTAAAAAGTTTCAGTTTCAGTAATATATTTTAAATGACAACGATAAATAAAATAATTTCTATTGAATAAAAATTAGAAATGATTCATTTGCATTCGAGTCAAGTGCTCTTGGAATAAAAATCATATTAAGAAAATTTTTAAATTAATATATTATATATGATGCAAATACATTTATTATACATAATAAATATAATTAAAAATTGAAAATAATTTTCAAAACTTTAAAGTCATGATATTTAAAAAAAATTGTAATTATGCACGGTGGAGTTTGATTATTTATTGAACTTTTACAATTTTATATTATAAAATATACTAAAAATATAAAAAGCTTTTTTTTACATGAAAGAAATGTTATAATTTTCGGATATTTATAATATGATAAGCTTAAATATTTAAATGGATAAATTGTGTTTTATTTGTCATAATTGAAATTATATAACTTTGTAAGGTAATCTTTATTTATTTTATTTTAAACTTATATTTCCACTTCTATGTATATATTTAAATGTTGTATAAATAAACTATAATGATAACAATAGCATTAATCTACATTCAACTATGTAAATATTGATAAGAATCTCATAAATCAATACATTTTTATAAAGATAAATTTACTAAAACTACTCGTCATTTGTATATGTCTCTATGTAAAAATAATCGAAATAATTATATTGCAATTATAATTATTATAGTATAATTGATTATATTTGTTTAAGTGAAAATTGAACAAGTCGATCTTGAAGCTCTTTATTGTGAACGAGTGACATTACCGAAGATTCAAGACAATTACTAATATATATTCCAGATTTTTGCTCTATTTGCGGACTGACTGCTGCAAACACAATCGACGTAGCACCTTCTTCTGGTTTCTAAAAATCAAATCATCACTTTTTGTTTGTATATTTCTTATACGTTTATCGAATCAATTAATATAATAAAATTACAGTAAAATTAAACAATATGCTTTACGTTACTGATTTAATTTTCAACAGTATATTTTAAACTATTTGCATTATTCAATTTCTAAATTTGATTTGTACTTAAATTATCTATAATTTCTCATATATAAGTTATATAATTTATCTGATGAATGGAGAAATACATTTCTCATATAATTCTTAGAAAATGTCAAATTTATCTGTTTAAAGATATTAAATATTATTTTACCTTAAAAATCAGGTTCCTAATAAATTTTAAATATTTATGATAACTCGTTTCAAAAAGCTCGGTATTGACAATTCCAGGATGAACGGCATTTACGCTTATATATAATTTATTTGTTTCAAAGAACCTTGACAGAAATTTTGTGAATAATAATAGAGCTAATTTACTTTGTGCATAAGCCTCACCCGTGACAAAATTTTCCCTAAAATAAAAATAAATTTTGTATTTTTTGTTACATACATATATATATATATATATATATATATATATATATATATATATATAATTATTAATACTATTATCCTTAATATTCTTATTATATAATATTATATTGCTAATTGTATTTTGTAAGAAAAAACAAAAATTTTACTTTAATTTTGAAAAACAATATTTCATCTATAAAGAAAAAGTTGTTTTAATTCAGCGATGTGAGTTGAAATTTAAAATCTTTCCATATCTATCAGATATATTTATAAAAATGATTATAAATTTTAAATAAAATACATTTCAAAAATCCATTAATAAAACATAGCGCATCACGCGAGTGATAACAATTTTTTTTTTTTTTTTTTTTTTTTTTTTTTTTTTAATAAAATTAAATATAGTCTTCATACTTGAGGTTAATGTCGTCGAAATTAATGTTTCCTATTAAATGTGCACATGACGAGACATTAATTATTCGTGAGTAATATTCGGAAGTCCCAGCATTTTTCAATAATGGAATTAATGATATTGTAAGTAAAAAATGCGATAAATAATTCACACCATATTGCTCCTCGAAACCGTCTATGGTTTCTTTGTAAGGAGTAAACATTACTCCAGCTAAAATTAAAAAATAAACATTAAATAATTGGATTTATATGTATTAATGTGCACGTACGTTAATGCACATTACAGCATTTATCCGTATATTATAGTACATATTTGTTAAACATTAGAAATATGAGAGAATCGTGACGTAATTATACGAATGTGTCATGATTTTGTCATGATTTTCAAAATAATTATCACCATCATTTGAGCATATTATTTTGCTCCTATTATGACGATATTAATAATATTAATATAAAGCGATAAAATATTACATATAAGTAGATGAAAATAGTTATAGAATAATGGTTTTGTACATGAAAATGTTAAAAACAATATGCCCTGTATAATTGAAACTATCGGAACGTTTCATTTCTCATATCTTTCACAAAATGTACTTTTTAAGATACAGTTTTTAAGTCAATACCATTGTTTATCAAAATATCAAGCTTATCGTATTTATTATAAAATTCTTTAACGAATCTTCTAACGGAGTCCAAACTTGAATTATCAAGTTCCATAACAATCGTCTTTCCAGTTTCAATGTTGGATTCTCTTATATGTTTGACGCTATTTTCGCCTGCTGACGTACTTCGACAAGCTGAAAAAAGCGGCTCTCTTTAACTTAATTCGTTCGGTTTTGTTAAATTTTATTAATTTTGATATATCAAATATGGGCATGATTTATCAAAAAATAATTCCATACCAATTATAACTGTCATATCGCATTTTAAAAGCATTCGAACCACTTCTGTACCCATGCCCCGAGAGCCACCAGTAACGATCGCTATTTTTCCTGTCAATTGCGGCAGCTCTAAACACAATATTTCATTGTTTGTATTACATTATCACATTATCGTTAATCACACATTTAGAAAACACAAATTATCGGTAAATATATTATTTTTAAAAACGATTTTATTCACGCTAAAACATACCATAAAATATATAAAATATTTTATCATTTTCTTGATACGATTATCAACCATTAAATAATTCAATTAAAAATATCTTACGTTGAATATAATAATCGATTTCATTTAAACTACAGGTTACTATAAGTTAATGTTGAAACATGAAATATAATATTATTGTTATTATGTTTCCTCGAGAAGATTGAATTTATATTTTGTGTGTGTGTGTGTGTGTGTGTGTGTGTGTGTGTGTGTTTTAGAGGACAAAAAGTTTCGAATTTTCTCATTAACTATATTCATTATTAGATCAAAATTTATACGAAAAGAAATGCTGATTAGAAAGTATTGTGAAACGTAATGAGAATGCGTATGCAATGAATATCTTGTAATTTCGTAATACTCTTTTCACATTTCTATTAGTATATATATATATATATATATATATATATATATATGCATACTACAGAAATATTTTTGAATCTGATTAGTCATGGCTATTTCTGATAACGAACAATACACGATTTATATTAAACTATATTCCTTGAAAAGCTATAGCATCGTTAAAGTTTTAATTACATTTGTCAATGTGTCAATGCAATAAGCTAACGTGTATAAATATTTTATTTTTTTTTCAAATACATACTCAAATTATAAAATTAGCCGAGCCATGATAAAAGACGACGAAAATAATCGATTCTCTCGTAATCGGAAAAGTTGTACGCAATAGACAATAATACTCGGCTGAAGAGGATGACAATGCCCTCAATGAAGCGAAATAAAGAAAGAAAGAAGAAGAAGAAGAAAAGAAAAACGAGTCAAGCAATGGTAAATAGAAGGAGGCGGTGCATCTTCTGTCTGTTCTTACCCGTGCGATTGGAGCTGGCCTGTAGATGGTCGAGGACGATACCCTTGACCCCTATCATATTGTATTGGAGCTCATAGTAGATCCTCTTGACGAGGCAAGCCAGGCTCATCTTCTTGACGAGAGCGAGACCAAGAAGGGCGGCAAGGGTCGAGCCCACAATGAACAGTAACATATCCGCGTGCACCAGGTTCCTTCTCCCCGATAGTCGTCAGTTGTCGTGCTGTTCCGCTGCTACTCTGTGACATTTGAAAGTCGGCGCGCGACTGAATGGTTGGAGCGTCGCTGACGAGGCAATCGAAAAATCAAATTTATGCTTTTGTGTTTTTGCCCTACCTTCTTTTTGTTTTCCTCGTATTCCATTCGACTTTCTTCAGCTTTTGTTTTGAAATAATTCAGGATGCAAAATACGCGAGATCTTTTCTTATTTTTCATTATACTTTTCCGATTAAATGGGCCTTGTTCGTGAAAGCCTCTGTTTGGAACTCATCACTGTCCTTTCGATATTATTGAATGTGCCATTTCGCACAGGACAATACAACTAAATAACGATTTTCTACTTGTTATTCGATTATTTCCCGCAGGATTTGCTTTTTTTATTTTTTTTTTTCATGTTTTGTTGTACTTTTGCTATTAAATGATTAAAATCGAGATATAATTGATAAAGTGTTAATAGGCTCTAATGAGACGACAAACAATACATTCCAATGTACAATACATTCCGATGTACAACACAAATGTATATTATATTTATTTGTAAATTTTCGTATGATGATATTTTATATATTTGAAGTTTATATAGTTGAAATTCAAGCACAAATATTTTAATTAGAAACATTTATAGTTGTTCTTAATTTACAATATATCCTTTCTTCTTTGAACAAACAAACATGAAATATTAGAGAGAGAAAATGACAATCAAAATATTTAACTGATTATTTATTTTTAATCAAACATTAAAAAAAAAAATACCCTGTAAGCGATGTTTTCTTTTTTTTTTTTTTTATGAACTATGCATTTCACTTTATTCCTTGTTTTTTTTTTGTTTTTTTTTGCCATAGATATAATTATAATTTCTTTATCGATAATAATACACTTAACATTGTTATAAATATAAATGGTCATTGCAACATTACATCTATAGTAATTCAATACAACATAAATAAATAAATCCCTTTATTGTTATTTATATATTGAAGGGGAAATAATTGTTAATTTATTTATGGAATTTTTTAATAATTTTTGTGCACCTAATTCTCCTAAGATTTTACGAAAGCTTTGTATTATTTTTTGTAATTCTACCCAAGGAACTGTTTATTTATCTGGCAAAAAGTATAAATATAAGGATTTACAAGTAACAGTAAGAGGACAATATTTATACGCATGCGTGATTTTCATAGGTTTCCAAATGTATTAATTACGTGCAATTGAATAAAGATCGTACCTCTCGCACTTTTTAACGCAATATTTTAACGAATAAAAGCAAAGTAGTTGCGTTATTTGTCGAATTCTTTATACGCAATCATAGATAATACATAGGTATCGGTTAAATTAATCAATGGCGTATCTTCTAATACGTTACATCGTAAATGAGCTCAGAATTAGGTCCGAGAGGCATATTATATTGAAGATACGGAGATATGTTCACTAGGTGTACAAGAGAGTTAACGGGAATTGCAGTTGGACTTCGATTGTCGACTTTCTCTTTGAAAACACCATTATAATACAACATTGAACGTATAGTTGTGAAAATTATATCGTAAGAGTTAATTTTTTAAGTTTTTAACCGGCTTTGAAAGTGTAATTTATCAAACGAAGGACTAAATAATTGAGGTATTTGTAAAATGCTTAAGATACGTCAAAACCAAAGTCTTTAAATACAATGTCTACGACTAACATTTACACTCGATAAAAAAAAAAAAAAAAAAAAAAAAAAAAAAAAAAAAGAAAAAAAAATATGAGAGAAAAAAGAATTAGTGTATTCAAGGTTTCGTTATTCCGTCAACGATAGCAATATTATTACGTAATTTATACATGTCGAGCATAACGTTATGTTGCTCATACGAATCTCATGAATTATCGTATGCTAATTCATATTTATCGCACAATATTTTGTGCTTCGATCAATGGCATATTATACAGACTCGACTGCTCATAATAATAATAATCATAATTAATAATAATTAATAATAATAATTAATAATAATATCCGATAATAATAATAATAATAATGGTAATAATGATAATAATGGTAATAATGATAATGATAAAATAAAAAATAAGAGTAGAATGAAGGAAATACAGTGAAAGACTTACGCATTATTCTTCCCGCCCGTATCCTCGACTTTTCAAACCACAAGACAGTCGTACAGAACCACCACCTGTAAAGCAAAGCCCGAAATAAATTTCATTATCGTTATCTCGTCTATTGTAAAGACAGTCGGACAGTCGGACAGTCGGACAGTCGGTAAATACTTGAACAATTTAGGCAACTCGGGCCTGCTGTACCAGCAATGTCAGATGCGCGTATCAAGCAGTCGTCTAGCATTGTGTCGATTTGATATCTCGAATGTGGAAGAAGTAGATATAGCGTGAATGTGAAGAAGGGCTCGCTCGCTGCGTCTTTATTGCAATTTCGATTGTCGAAACTTGATGCGCCGCTGTAAAAAGGTTTCATGAGAACTTAAAAGTCCAGAAAGACACCTGGTGCTTGCCGCGGACAACGTGTGCACGCCTATATAAGTCTTTCAAGAGAAGGACAACGTACGATTAATTGATATAAAGGGAAGAGCAGCAGCTTCTATTTTAAAAAACTACAGTGAGTGTTGGCATTTTTCTCTCTTCCTTTATCATTCTCGCTCTCCTCGCTTCTTCTTTCATTTATTCATCTTAAATAGAGCATATTAACAGGAGTTTTGTTGTTTGTTGTTACTTTAATTTTGTCGACTTTGGCCAAGTTAATGATAAACATTAATATTTAAAGCTCTCTGCTCGATAATCATCGTTGGCAGTTGTTTTATTAAATAACAATTACATGGTTATATGAGAGAACTTGCCGTTTTATTTTTTTCTTCTTCTTTTTCTTTTTTTTTCTCTCTCTTTTTTTTTTTTTTTTTTTTTTTTTTTTTTTTTTTTTTTTGTTATTTTCAAGTTATTACAAATTCAATGCAATAACATAAGGCATATAGGTTATAAGGTTATATTAGAATTTTTAAGCGATTCTCACAGGTAGTTTCGTATTTATTTTATATAGTATAATTTTAAGCATATACGAAGGACTTTCCATTTTTAGAAAGTTATGCATAATTCATAAGTTCTATGCAAAGTAAAATTTGTAAGACTTATTTGTGCATTAAAGCTTTTCCATTTTATTTTCAGTTCATTATTAAACTTGAAATCCAAGAGTTTTTAAATAATAGCGTCTTAGGAAAAATTGTGTTAGTTTAGTATAATTTCACGTATATTGCATTATAAAAAGAATCTATTAATAGGACGAAATTATTATACCACAGACCATTTCCATGTTTACATAATATTGTAAATTTTTATTAATCTTCATTTTTATATTGTAATTATATATTGACGTCAGTGACGTAGTTAACTTAATTTCAATTCTCCAATGCTTTGTGTAAATTATAATCAATTTTATATGTTCTAAATTTAATTGTCTACAGATTTCTCATTCAAAATGGCAACAAATTCGAATGATGGCGGTAGTACGCCACTTACGGAGGAAAAAGGATGGCCATTGGTGAAACAACAAATTATTAAAGATAAAATTAAAGTTACGCAGTGGGCAATTAGACTGCTTAGTATTTTCTTCACTTTTACATATTTCTATCCAATATTTGGGTAAGATAATAATAATAATTGCAACATAAAATTATATTTCCTTACTAACTAATTTCTATAGTTACGAAAAATCTTCTATTAATTTACAGAAACCCATACGATGCCTATTATAAAGTATTACTTAGTTGTATAGCGACAAATCTTCTTCGACTTCACCAACGAATACCAAGAATTTCATTTACAATGGAATTCGTTAGGATGTTATTTTGGGAAGATTCTTTTCATTATTTATTTTATGCATTCATTTTTCAATACAATTCGCCAATTACTGGTAAACTATTCATTTGTTTCAAACAAATTTTTTATAGTCAACAAATAATAACACTGTTTATAATATCGTTATTTTACAGTGGTCGTTGCTCCGATATTTCTCTTTGCTTTGCTTCATTTTTCAAGCTACACCTTGACATTTCTTGACGTAAGCATACAATCTATACATGTCTATAGTAGAATAATAATATAGTTACTATATAATAATAGTAAATACCATCTAACAGTCAATATTTACTTTATTTTTACCTTTAACCGCTTTGAGTCTTACAACTAAGATAATTTATGAAATTTGATAACTATGAAATTTATTATTTAATTATTACTAAATAATTGTTTTAATAGCCTTTCATTTTTCTTACAGTGCTTAGGACAAAATAGATGGTCAGCAGTTCGCTTATTCATTTCACTTATTGAATTCCAGTCTCGAAATATTTTGACATTTTGTGCACTTTGTGAGATATTGATTATGCCTTTAACCATATTTTTTATATTTACGTAAGTAATTTGAAATATTTATTCTATGTGAAATATGTAATATTGTTGATACTCGTAACTACTGTAACAGTATGGGATAATATTTTTCCTTAATCTTTCCTTAATGCAAACCAATTGTATGTAAAAAACAATATATAATAGAGTACACACTTTTTTGTTATATAATTTCTAATTAGTAATTTATCTAAAGAATTCGTTTGAAGAATATTATTTACAAAAATAATAATCAGTATCTATTAATTTATGATATGTTCTATTAAAAATATGTTATATAAGCGTTATTAACTTAAGCATGACATTATTATACTCGTTTTCTTTACTATTTCTTAAACGTAACATTACATTTACAAACACAATATACACGCGCGCGCACGCGCACACACAAATATCTTCTTTAAAACTCTATGCTACTTTAATATATTCTGGTTAATTAATTGTTAAAGCTATAATAATTTTGTAAATTATTTTATTTTGTTTATAGCGGCAGATCAGGATACCTTACCCCTGTTTTCTACTATCAATTTTTACAAATGCGCCTAGCTTCTAGAAGAAATCCATTCACACGTAATGTTTATATTGAGATTACAAATTCTTTAAATAATATTTCTATGAAACCAAATGTGCCTGATGTCTTGAAAAGAATAATTACAAATTTTGTTGAACTTATGCGTAGAATGATGCCTATTCATCATTAATTTAATGATCTGGTAACATAGGTGATTCGAATTTAAACATATTAAAATATTTATTGATTATTAAGTTACTTTTTAAATTATATTACAAGAAATATTCTAGACTATTTTTCTATTTGAAAAATAAATAATTGTTTATAAAATTTCTTATAGAATCAATAAATTTAGAGAAAATTTTTTCTTATTCTTTATTCTACTTGTTTCTCAATTAAAAATTTCTCTTTTCATACTTTATAAAATAAATCTAATTTATATTATTTTTTATTTTGTGTATATCGTTTATTAAATTACCCGTATTAAATGATGTGAAAATACGATTTTAATAAATAATATAAATTTTATGATAGACATTAGATTAAGAAAATTTTCTATAATTTTTTATGTAATAAAATTTATGTTAAATATATAAATATAATTATGTTGGAGAAAGTTTAAAACATTTTGAATGTATAAACCAAAAGTATAAAATACTATTAATTGATACCTAATTTTCATTGAATTACAATTAGATAAATAAAACTTTGCCTATATTTCTATCAATTTTGTTTTATTAATATTTTATTAAAAAATCACTACAACATTGCTTATTAAATTAATACGAGTTCAGGTTATTTAAACATTGGTACTTGCCTATTTTAATATAAGAGAGAGAGAGAGAGGTCCTGAGCATGTAATTGCAAGCTATTTTATAAAATTTTGAATTAGGTTTATGTTTATATTCATTATGGTTAAAAGAAGTTTATGATGGTCAGCATTTAAGATCTATTTAATTATAATTTACTTTGTGCACACACAATCGAACATGTATTGCGTCATTAATAAATACATTGTACAATAAATAGTTAAATAATTATTTTAAAACGTATTATTATAATTTTCGTTTTACGAGGATAGGGAGTGGAGACAACTTTAGTAATATAAAGAGAGTAATAATTTCTTTTAATTATCATTATTTTTTTTAATTCTCAATCAATGTTTAGTATTTATAATCACTTAATCTTTCTTCGTATAATTGTGAAATTATGTATCTGTCAATACAATTATATGCTGTGGTCAATGGTTGTTTTTTCAAATAAATTGAAAATGTTAATAATTGTTATTTTTGTTTTATTCTCTACTACATATAAATAAGTATTTCCCGCTTTGCGTTAAAATTAAACTTTTAATAAGCACATTTACAAATTCTTAAATACAGTTCATTCTATTACGTAATTCTGTAATTTTAAATTATAAATTATTATTTAAATCTACATAAGACTTCGCTTTAATAAAATATGTTTATTTGTGCTTAATAGCTATTATATTTATAAAACAATTATAAACAAATTACGACCAGTCTCAATGACATTCATAATATTGTTTTTACTTTTAATTTTCCAATTAAATGGCTTTTCTTAATATTTTTATTTTAATTTTTTAATAAATTAAAATCGGGCAAATATCATATTTTATCAATAGATTTTATGATTTTTATTAAATGTTAATTTTTTTTTCAAATGATATAATTATTTAAATTTATCGATACCTTAAGTACATATTTTTCTCTTGTAATATATATTTAATTATTGAATTGAAAGACAAAAATATTTTAATATTAAAATGTCACGAGTGTTTTAAAAATTTTTTTATATATAGCTTTTAGTAATATATTATTGGCAACAAAGTATTAAGAGGAAATGAGTCTTTTAGAAAACTATTACAAAACTATTTCATATAGTTATAACTATATAATATAATATAATATAATTGAATATAATATAGATATAACTATTTAATCGGTCAATATAATTAGGTTACATGAGTCATGTATTTACAGATTTTATTTAACTTTAACATTGTACCGATTAATAGTATATGGATGCTCGTTTTAAGTTTTCGTCTTAAAAAATAGAGGATCAAACGGGACTGAATTATTTAAAAAATGTGATAGATTTAAAATTACACCCACACACGCAATTACAATAATATATATATATATATATATATATATATATTTTTTATAATTATTTATTATATAATACTGTTAGATATTTTTAAATAATTAACATTAATAACGATATCAAATAATTAGAAATTATTCTACTTTATAATTTATATATTTTTTTTAATCGTTTAAAAATACAAAATAAATATTTAAATTTAAAATAAATATTTTTAATCATTATTACATTTAATCCTATCTATTTGTATGAATTGGCTAATTTTTTCTATTTTGTGCTATTCCTAGATTGAGTTGCAATTAGATTTCAAAACTCAGCCACTTAATTCTTAGGATGAAAATTTTTAGTCGTCGCGCTCTTACAAGCACTTAAAATAAAAATCTTACTGCGCAGAATCGAGAAATTTCACATCCCTTCTCTAATTTTTAGTTCTCGGCCCTTTTTAATGTGAACACCAAACATGGCTGGTACGACAATTTCGAAAAAACGAAAGGTTTGTGCAAAATTTACAAAATTATGTTGATTTTATAGGAAAATATTATGAGTAAAATAGAACAAGGGATATATTGAATTGTATTGCGAAAAGATTATAACTTTTACAACATCTGAAAGTGACGGATTTTATGGATGCATTTTTGTTTAATCGGCAGCTGTTTCGATGATGTTAAATATTCTTAAGAATGAAGTATTTCATTTATTATTAAAATTAAATTACAATGACATTGTTTTGCAGTGTAATTAATGTTTTTTAAATTTACTAAGCTCCCCGTATTGTTTTCATTAAAGCAAAAGTAACATAACCTTGCTAGTACGATAATCACCAACTTGTTTTTATCGCGATTTTCAACAATATAGGTAGCCTTTGCTTATTGTCAATAATTTTATATCGTTTTCCGAATGAATTATTAAGAGATTAGAAAATAATTGAACTATTTTAGAGATATAAATTTATAATAATTATATTTCATATATATGAAATTGAGATTTTTATAATACAGATTGATGATACACTTTAGTAAATAACCACGTAATTCTAAATATATTTTGAAGAAAGAAAAGAATTGTAAATTGTGAACTATAATTAAATAATACTATGCGATTATATCCCCATTACAATATCTTTAATCTATGATTATATATATTTACTTTTAGTTCGTTGGAGATGGAGTTTTTAAGGCTGAGTTGAATGAGTTTTTGACTCGTGAACTGGCAGAAGATGGATATTCCGGTGTTGAGGTTCGCGTTACCCCACAAAAAACTGAAATTATCCTTATGGCTACGCATACACAGAGTGTATTAGGAGAGAAGGGCAGGAGAATCAGAGAGCTGACTTCGGTCGTTCAGAAACGTTTTAACTTTAAGGATTACAGTATTGAATTATATGCTGAGAAAGTTGCTACAAGAGGACTTTGTGCTATTGCGCAAGCAGAGTCTCTTAGATATAAGTTAATTGGTGGACTTGCCGTACGAAGGTAAATAAATATTTTATACCATTAGTTAAATACAATGTATTTATGAAGAGATTAAACCATAATAATTTCCTCTAAAAGTTAAATTATAAAATTATATTTTTGATTTTTAATGCATATATCGCAGTAAATACACATCATTCTTTAATAGAAAATTTACAATTTCTATTATTAAAAAATGTCGCATAATATACCTTGTAATTGTTATATGAAAAAATTTTTTCTTAATTTTAAGCTTATCCTTAAAAAATGATGATAAAAGAGATACAACTAAATGTCACTTAAACGTGTATTTTTTATATTTATAAATTTGATATTCATTATATTATTTTAATTGCAATGGTCAAAGAAAATTTATTATAATGTATTATGGTATGTCAATATTTCATTGTATAATTGTAAAATCAAAATACTATACTGCGGTGGATAATGTGATTGTTTTATTTTTTTTTTATTTTTAATTAGAGCTTGTTACGGAGTACTGAGATTCATTATGGAGTCTGGTGCTAAAGGTTGCGAAGTTGTTGTTAGTGGGAAGCTCAGAGGTCAAAGAGCCAAGTCGATGAAATTTGTAGATGGACTTATGATTCATTCCGGTGAACCTACGAATGATTATGTTAACACCGCAACTCGGCATGTACTTCTTAGGCAAGGTAACGAAATTTAAATCGAACATAACACTTGAATCGTGCCTATTTCTTTGTTGATTTTGTGCAATTATGCTTAAAAAAATATATTTTATCAACAGGTGTATTGGGCATCAAAGTAAAAATTATGCTGCCATGGGATGTTAATGGTAAAATTGGTCCTAAGAAACCATTACCTGATAATGTCACTGTTCAAGAACCTAAGGAAGAGTTCTATTCCCCGGGACCTATGTCTGAAACAAAACCAGTTAAGGACCTGCCTGCGCCACCGCTCGTTCCTGCTCCATAAAAACATAATCATTCAATAAATTTTGAATAAAATTTAGAAAAAAATGTTAAAAGTTCACCATGTCTTATTTATTTACAAATTTACAAACCTCATGGTTTCGTCCGTCTCATTTGAACAAATAATATTGGACCTGGTAATTTCAGTTATGCAAAAACAATGGTTACACGACGATTACGTATACGCGTAGAATAAAAACTTGTTAATTCATAATTCGTTAATAGTTTAAATTTGAAGAAGGAAAAAACATTAATTAACAAATGGTAAAGTCATTGTGACGTTGAAAGCGCATTGGTAAAATGAACTCTTGAAGGGAGGGACCACCGTGTCAATGTTTATATACGTCCCTGAAACCTTCTTGAGTTACTTTATTATCTAATCAACTTTCTTGTCCGGCTTGTAAGAACGCGATGGTAATGAGTTGAGTGTGTGCGTTCGTTAAACGCTACGATAAGGTGATATTATTATATTTAAAAGTATACTTTTAAAATTTTCGAGTTGAAGATAAGCGGAAATGGAATTGGCTCGTGCAAATGCCATGAAAATAATAATGGCTTTAACCATTGTAGCAGTCAGCTTATGTCTTTTAATCATTCCCATAAGCGTCGAACCGGATAGGAGTCAAGATATAAAGCTGTTCGAAGCCTATGTTACGGAATACAAAAAACCGTATAAATTTAATCGAACGGAATACGAACGGAGATTCGAGCGATTTCAAGTAATATATTACATTAAGTATTAAGGTTACAGATTAAAAAATGTTTGACCTGTTGTGAGACATTTTCATTAATTTTTTAAATTTCATAACAATACGATGATCACTTTACTAGAATTAAGTGCTTAAAAGGCGCGAAGTCTTATATTTGCTTTTCGCTTTCAATATCATATTACATTATGGGTAAAATAATTTTAGCGATCCCTTCGAAAGATTGACGCTTTGAATGGATTGAGAATGTCAGAACACAGTGCTCGCTATGGTGTCACTGAGTATTCAGATATGACAGAGCAAGAATTTCTTGCTTTAAATCTTCATCCGGATCTTCCAGCTCACAGTGAACGGCATCACCAATGTCATTATCATCATATTCATTCGGCTAAACGAAGTAGAAGAGCATCGCTAATATTACCAATGAAACACGATTGGAGAGAAAAGGGGGTTGTTACTGCAATAAAGAGCCAAGGTAATTGTGGAGCATGTTGGGCATTTAGTGTTGTCGAAGTAGCCGAGTCAATGTTTGCTATATCTAATAAGACATTAAGTGCACTTAGTATTCAAGAGGTAATTATAACAATTTTTAATTATATTATATATTATTGACATTAAACGTAAGGTCTTGATAATCAAATGCTATTGTTTGCGATTAGAAGGGACAAACAAAAAAAAAAAGAAAAGAAAAAGAAAGATAAAATGATTATAAAGGATTAAGCAATTTAGTTTGAACTAAATAAATGAAATAAATGTAAAATCAATTTTTGTAGATGATCGATTGCGCAGGAAATAATAATTTTGGTTGCGAGGGAGGAGATATATGCAGTTTGCTCGAATGGCTGGTTATTTCAAAAACACGAATACTGCCGGAAGCGAATTATCCTCTAACCAGGATAACCAATGTTTGTAAATTACAAAAGTAGATAAAAAGATATTTTATCAATTTGAATTATATGCCAAATATCTTATTGCCATTATACAATTCTTAATTGTCATTTATTAGGAAAAATGTCGAGTCACAAGTGGGTATTCAAGTATCAGACTTCACGTGCGATAAGTGAGTTTATCAAAGAATAAATAATAATCTTATTTATTGAATTTATACAGACAATTATATCGGCAAACAAATTTATATGGCCCACGATAACAAGAAATATATTGCCGTCGGTAGTTATTTATTTTTTATGTAGTCAATTATATAAGTTCACTATTATTATGCGTATTTAATCATGAAAAATTTTTTACCGCAATAGATGATGATAAACTTAATGGCAGCCTTAGCTTAAAATATATTAATTAATCTTTATTTCCCATTTAAATTATAATAAACATAATGCTTAAATTAAATTTGAGCAAATTAAATTAAATTCTGTTTCATTAATTTTAATTTATGATATTTTGTAATTGATTTGTAATTATGATTATTGATAATAATACTGTTATTATATAACTACTTTCACCAAATTTTAATGTAATTTTGAATAGACAAATAGTATTTTGCATATTGTTAAGCATATCCAATCTCTAAGGAAATGATAATTATATATTGTAAACAACGTATATTCTAATAGTCTAGTTAACAATGACTCATTACTCTGCAATTTTTTATTGATAAAGCAAAATAATAACAAGTAAATAATTTGCGAAACAATTATGTGCGGATTAGTTAAATAAAATGAATTCTGGTAATGATAATAATATAGAGGCTACACAGGTATTTTGTTGCTTTCATTCGGAAGCGTAATTTCATATTTAATATTTAATTCACATTTAATAATTAATATTTAATCGTTAACGAGCTGATGAAATGTAGACATTATTGCTTGTAGTTTTGTGAATGCGGAAGAAGAGCTGTTGAAAGAACTTGTGACAAAAGGGCCAGTCGCCGCAGCAGTGAATGCACTTTCATGGCAAAATTATCTCGGTGGCATCATACAATTTCATTGTGATGGATCCTTTGCGAATTTAAATCATGCAGTACAAATTGTCGGATATGATAAGACTGCTGAGATTCCTTATTATATTGTGAGAAATTCTTGGGGTTCGTCATTTGGCGACAAAGGCTATTTGTACATCGCAATTGGCAATAATCTCTGCGGTAATAATTTTATATACATTACTTCCTCCTACATCTATTTAATGTAAATAAATTTTGTATCATCATTTATTTATCATTATTTTATATATATTTATATTTTATTTTTAATAGGAATAGCAAATCAAGTTTCTGCGGTTGATGTAGTTTATTAAGAGGTACAAAAAGAATTCTTTAATATTACAAATTACAAACTGAGAAATAGTAATAACGTGATATTCTTCTGAGATATATATTATTAATAAAGCTTTACAGATATTAATCGTGTAAATTACAATAATTTGTGATAATTGGTAAAGTAATGCAATTACTTTATATTGTAATGAAATAATGACTATTATTAAAGTCAAAGACTCGTGTGACTCATTTTTATATGAAATTTTATAATTCTATTATAAGGCTGGTATATTATAAATGTAACTTGATATATTTGTAAAGAAGATTGATGACAAAGCAAACGAACAAGCAATAAACGCTCTTACGTAAGAATAAATTCCATAACGTTTTTTTCTTTCTCATAAACCACAAAATTACAATAATGTAGAGGCATAAACATACAACTCACATACATATGCACATGAACCTATATAACAAGTATAAGCAGAGAGTCAGAGAGAGAGAGAGAGAGAGAGAGAGAGAGAGAGAGAGAGTTGCACAATAAAATGAAAAATTAGCAGCAGATATCAATTTCGTAGATAAAAAGGCTTTATTTAATTGTTGGAGCCATTATTCACACTCAAATCAGTATTCGAATTATTAATAATGCCGTAACAACTTCTTTCATCGCTGTGGTAATTATCTTTACGGTTTTTCTGCTCTGTCGACGAGGATGAGGTTGTGGCGTTTACCGACGAAGTCTCTACCGATGATACTACGTCCTCTTCAAAATCGGAGTAATCCCAAACTATAGATAATTTTGACTTCATGCGTTTGGTGAGTGGCGGAATGAGTTGACGTGGTATCAAAAAGGTCGAGAGATTAAATAAGTCTACAAAGACTTTGTAGCGATCGCTAAAATAAAGCTTAATTATTAAAAATATTATAAAAAATTCCATTTGTTCGTGAAAATTAGCTCGTAAAATATCATGATTTTTTTTTTTTTAACACGAGATCAGCTTCCCTTCTGACTTTTCCAACGATCTTTTACTTATAATCGAAGCATCTATCTATTATCTATTATTCGTACTGTCCTATTCGTGTAAAATAAAAGAGAAAACATTTTTTTTTTTTTTTTTTTTTTTTTTTAATATTTTCATTGCTCGTAAAATGGGAAAGAAAGTAAGTGTGATGAACGTATTGCCAGAATCAAAATTTATCGAGCGATAAAATTCCTGGGAATTCAACGAATCCTGCGAAAATTTCATCCACGCGACAAGTAAAAGTATCGACGGGCCCTTCAACCGCTCAAATTGAAGTCCCCGTCACGATAATCGTTCGGCAATAATGGTTCGAGCATCACGAATATTGACTCGTATCGAACAACAATAGATCCGAAAGGAGGCAAAAAACTAAATTAATTGTTCAAGCGACAACGTACCTTAAAGTGGTTTTCAAGTAGAGATATCCGGATGAGCCGCCGGTGCCGAGCTGCTGCGAGCCGATCATTCTTTGAACCATGAGAACGTGGTTGTCTGGAAGTGAATAGGAAATAACGGCCATTTCATTCTAGTTAGCGGCTGTCGCGGTCTTAAACGAGGGATGTTTAATCGTTGTGAAAGGGTCGAGGGTTTCAAATGTCGTCGTGCATACGGGATGGGGAATCGCGATATCCGGCTTACATCTCCACTTGGTGATGAGCGAGTCGATGTCCATTAGGGCCGTGAGAATCTGGTGAGGCTGGCTGAAGCGCGGCTCGTCCCGATAGAGGGTGATCATGATCGCGCCCTGGAGGGCCGCGTGTGAGAAGCGGCGCTCGCCCCTGGAGACGAGGGCGTTGTGCGCGGCCACGTTGAAGATCGAGTCGAAGACCGCCTGGCGCGCTGCCAAATTGTTCAGCAATTGTTTACGGAACTCCTCCTCCTCCTCCTCCTCCTCCTCCTCCTCCTCCTTCTCCTCCTTCGTGTGCGTCTGAAGCGAGAATTTAGTACGTGACGTGACGTTTTCAGATAGCCAAGGGCTGCGTCAGGCTTGTTTTGGCTTGTTTTTTTTTTTTTTTTTTTTTTTTTTTCGATAAGCGCTCGATTAGAGAAGGGCTAAAAAAAAAGTGGATCTTGGATTTTGGCGAGGGCAGGCGAGCAGTGCGGACAAAGTCGAGCTTTCTTAGCCAGTCTTGGAACACTGGAGCATGAGTACCGTATACCATATATTATACCAATACGTACGTGTATGTGTTGGCGCTGCTCGTTGAGCATGGCCTCGACGGCGCGCCGGTACTTGCCCCAGAAGTCGAAGTCGTTGGTGGCGAGTCCGGGGGTCCGGGCGAGCCAAAACTGGACAAGGTGACTGAGGCTCGGCTCCTCCTCGCTCCGACGTATGGCCTCGACGGCATTTGGGTCGCGCCCGAAGACGCGCTTGTAGCTTTGGCTGTACTTGACGCGATGGGCCTGTTTGACGCCGAGCTTGTTCTCGAGGAGGCGAAACTGCAGGGATTGGAAGCCCGAGGCCGGGCAGAGGTAGTCGCGAAAGGCCATGAAGTCCAGGGGCGTCATCGTCTCGAGGATCGAGACCTGATCCACGAGCAGCTAAGTGCACATTTATCGATTTATCGCTCATTAAGTTTTTGACGCTGGGAGGTTGAGAGAGAAGGATAAAGGGCAGGTAGAACAGGCTCGACGACGAGATCGTCAATTATACTTTTTCTCGTCAACAGCTCAATTACGTGCGATTACGTACGAATGAACAAAGTTTATTTCTTGGCGATTCGCGCTATACTGTAAACTCGTTATTATTGCTAGTCGAAGTAGCCGTTGATAGGCGTCTTAAGAGAACTTTAGTCGCACAATACGCTTATGATCATTTGTATTTATCATAAATAACGTTTATGAAAGGCTTAAATATGACAGTACGTATAATTCTTACTTTTACGATAATAAGTTTTTGAATAAATCATTCGTAAGATTTATATTGCTTGGATTATCGCTTGTTTCATAAAGCTGTTTTATACTTTATGACTTTTTCATAAATTTCTAGCGTCATTAATATAACTTTAATCGAAATAACGTAGAAAAACAAAACAACAAAACCAAAATGAAAAGTATTTTACGTCGATTTTTTACTTTAATTTTATATATTCTTTATATATCAGAAAATTAATATCGATATTGGTATTTTTTTAAATTAAACTAGAGATTCTTCTTTGTTTTTTTTTTTCATTTTTTTTTTTCATTTTGTTCTGTATTAATGTGAGAAATTTTGTGATGTGAATTTACTGTCACGAAGCTTTTCTGTATAAAAATATAGAATATATAATTGACAATTTCGCCTTTAGTTTCGTTGATCGAACTCTTTTAAATTAGATTTTCACAAATAAAAAATTATCTACATTGTTCATTATATCATTAGGATGTATTATCTACAAATCAGTTAACAGTCAAAAGTTATTATGAACAAAGCTACAATTTTCAAGTTATTAGGTGCAAAGTTATAAGTTACAAGTTATTATGTACAAAGACCTCTTATGTAATACGTGCATATGCTAAAAGTATTACAGTATAGTACAACTTAATGCCGTGAAAAGAGAATATGCCAAATTATACGAAATCGGCAAATATTGCAGAGAAATCAGCCAATATTGAAACAAAACAAAAAAACAAAACAAAAAAAAACGCATAAGTGGTTTAAATAATTTTTAAGAAATTCGATTATTCGTTTATAATTCGTATGTTCTCAATTGTTTACAAAATTCCAATCGATCGTATCAACTATTAGACATATTAATAATGTATATTTTTTTACACCGTAACAATTGATAAAAGGCAAATAAATATTATTCAGTTCATCGACTATAAGTGCATAACTAGTAATTATTATTCGTTAATTACATGAACTAATACGTTGGGATTTCGTATTATTGATTGATTCAAAATAAAGTAAAATAATTAATTTTGTTGCGTAAATATTTCAGAGGAAAAATTAAATCAGATTTGCTATAAGTTGTGCTTGGTATCGATTGCATATGTCGAGTGATGCACTTATATTTCTATGGTTGCTTTCACTTATGCCAGCCACTACTGAATATGTTTTAAATAATAGAGAGCAAATTATTATTATTCGCAATTCGCAAGACATTGTGTAGCAAGTAAATCAGATCGATTCACAAAGTTTATACAAAAAGCTATTTTACATTAATTTTGTTAATATCGTATTTTTGGAATAATTAGTTTCTTCACCTATGAAAATCTGGAGGAATAAAAGTTTTATTTAATTCCTCCATTATTTTTTTTTTCTTTTTTTTTTTTTTTTTTTTTAACTTAACTTTACTTAATTAAGAACGAAAATGTAAATTCCGCGTAATAGTTTAAATTTAGAATTAACTTAAAAGCATAAAATTATTTCCTTGCTTTTGTGTACTTGGCTCGTGCCAGATAAAATAAGAACTAATTAATGCAGACGGGAAAGTAGAAAATACTATGGCTGGCATAAAGCATGCATAGGAATTAATTAATAAATGATAAAAACGAGTAGCACTGTAATAATAATTCCTGTCGTCGATTGTAGGTATTGCGTGGACGGTTGTCCTTGAACTGAATCAGGTATATGTACCTCCGAGCATTAGATTTTCAAGTCTACGAATTGATAAAAGGGTCGCGATAAAATATAGATGAATGGAATTTTGTATCGTAGATTTATTTACATGCGCGACAAAGGCGATTGGCTGAATTTGCACGAAATCTGTTAAAATAATCCCTCCTTACAGCTTTATTTTTACATAAGAGAGAGAGAGAGAGAGAGAGGGAGGGAGAGAGAGGGAGAGAGAGAGAGGGAGAGAGAGAGAGAGAGTATAAACAAATGAATAGGAATAATAACAAATGCTTTTACCGTACTTTCAATGAAACGGCAAATCTATCGTTCCGTTTTCTGATCAAACAAAGTCATTGATAAAATTCACAATTACATAAATTCAATATAATATATAATTAATTAATAGGAATAAATACACAAATCGATAATGCATTATTCAATTTTAATAAAATGTAATCATGCATTTATTAAGTAAATTGTTATAGAAGAAGCGAGCAAACTAATATATATATATATATATATATATATATGGATTATATATGGATATTGCTGGGGGCAACGTCAATACGATAAAAAAATTTATGAATAAGTACGATTGTAAGCAATGAAAGAAAGAAAATAGAAAATGACAAACATATAAGTAAACAATTTAATTATCCGCCCTTCTTCTAATCGTCAATGGTAAATTTACTTCTGAATGCCAGAGAGATGTCGATAAGTTAATACGACATCCTCGATGATTGCGCAATACATAGAAACCAACGTGTATCGCGTGTCCCGCTCCGGTCTCGGCTTACCGAGTCCTTGGAGATTCTCGCTAATGTACTACTACCGCGGTCGAGTCCTTTGCCATTTCGAGCTTCCGCCGATGCAAGATAACATGGACGCAAAATGTTTGCCCTAATGTTGCGATAAATCGAGGATGCGATTTATTACATTACGCGAGACATAATTAGCGGCGAACTTTCTCCAGCAATGCGAGAAATTGTCGCTCCGACTTTTCCGTGCATTTATTCCTGACCGATCACTTTAATTCGTGGCGCGGGTGGTGTTATTTAATTAAACGTAGGTAACTTTTATGTTTATTATTACCGACGTTCAGCTCTCGAATATCAGCCACAAAAGTCCAAGCTATAAGAAGCCTTGGACCTGTATGTAATGAAATATTGCGCAATACATTTTTTAATAAGAAAGAAAAATTCTTGGTCAGTAAGATTGAAGTATTTGAAAGCCGACAAATTTAAGTAACGGAAATAGATTGATTGCATTTGTCATACGATAGTCCTGCAGAAATTTATAAATAAAATTGTATTTTTATATATTTAACTGATGTATAAGATAGTAAATTACATTATTATTATTAACAACAACAACAAAAATAAAATAATTCTTAACGATAAATAATGTGATTTATAAATGAAGAGGAAGCTACCTTTTTTATTTATTAGCTTGAAATATATAACTTGAATAATTTTATAAAAAAAAATAATTATTTTAGATAGATAGGTGTGAGAGATCGATTGAGCTTATGTAGAAATAAATAGGAGAGGAGTGTTTTCATAATTATGATACTCTTAAAAAATATATAATTTAGCTACAATCTTGAAAAATAACAAAAACTAAAAACGAAGTGGCACGGGGAGGATTTAAGTATTTGTTAATATTTGCTTTTCATTAATAATGATTTAACTTATTCACAATGTTAATATGTATAGCTTTATACTAGACTCGTATAAATTATATTTTATCGCTTCATTCTTAGACGTATATCATTATAAATAGAATTATTGTTTTTCTATTAATAATTTTTTATTTATTAATTCATTAATATTAATTATTAATATAAAATTATTAATATAAAATTATCAATATAAAATTATTTATTAATTTATTAATAATTATTAATAAATCAATTGTTATTAAATAATTGATTACGTCGGAATTATAAATTTGAAAAAGGAATGAAATGACGAAAGGCATAATAATGATGATGATGATGATGATGATGATGATGATGATGATGATGATAAAGATAATGACGACATGATAGAAGAATGCATTCAATAATATTATACGATACTTTAATTATATACAAACATATACATAATTTTAATAATATTGTTTGAATACATTCTTATATCATGTCGTCATTTATATTGTTTTAACAATACTAATATCCAAAGAAAATTTACTATATATTCGTAAAGGGGATTGTGAATAACAATTACCGAGGGAACTGGAACAATAACTTCATAAAATAAATTTATATTCAAACGTACGTAAATATAACTTTAATTTACTAGATCTATAAATTTATTCACACAAAGATAAGAAAGTGAAAGAAAGATAATAAAATTATTGTATTTGAGAAGGTATTAAGAATATTAATTAGTGCAAAAAAATATTATTATAATAAAATACTCTACAACACTGAAATACTAAAACAAGAATCAGATTTTATTTTCTAAGAAGTTGTTTGTTCATTATTTAAATTATAATATGTAATATTCTTAATTGTAACCCTTAGACTTACAACGCTGCTTATATGATTTACAACTTGATCTTTTGGTTGTATGTAATAAAAAAATCAAAATATGAAAGTACAGTAAAATAATGTTAACAACAATATGTCCAAACTCTCTTTTTATCGTTATTTTTCAATATAAACATGTATTTTTTATACATTTTTTTTTTTTTTTTTTTTTAAAAAAATCTTTTTTTTTTTTTATGTATTATGGATCACGTTGTTCAATTGAAAATATTCATTTAGTATATTTTTATAAATAATATGAAATAATTTAAACAAAAATAATTATTATCGGTAATGTGAATGTTTATGAGGGATGAAGAAAAATGAATTAAGATGTATAAATATAATTTTATGTTTTAATAGAAATTAGTGGCAAACCTGAATAGAAAACATTAGCATGATTATCATTAAAAAAAAAAAAAAAAAATTCACTGAATTTTCCATATAACATTAAAATACGTAATTAGTGACTACAAAAATCGCAGTTTCTAACGAAAGTAAGAATTATCTTACAATAAGGCTTTCCATTATTTTCAAAAACGATGAATCTTAAGGGAGCACAGATATTGCCGAAAAGATGATGAACCGAAAGAAGAAGAAGAAGAAGAAGAAGAAGATAGTGCAGAGATGCAGGAAACACGACTATCAGAGCTTCTTCCGTTGGAAATTCAATTATGACCCTTGTTGCAATGTAATTGGCTTGTCGCCGCGGGGTTGTTAACCTCAGTCATCACTGAATAATGCAACCACGATTTTATGTTAAAATCCACCTCATCGTTCTTTACTATTTTTCATTGCTACCAAACGCAATTTATAAGATCATTTGCATACTACCTTTGCATTATTATTATTCAAATTATGACAATAATATATATATATATATATATATATATATATATATACAAGATTTAAATATATTTGCCACCCCGTAACTAATTTTTAGTTTTTCTTATTTTTTATTCTTATTTTTCTTTTTGTAATACATGTTTACTCAGAGGGAATTTATAGGTCTTCTTACATGTGTAGAATTTAATCTTCATTTTTTTTTTCATATGCAATATTAAATTAAAAATTGTCACTTTTATCAATGCGTTATTGGACTTTTTTTTATAGTGTCTTCTTTATAAGGTTAAACGAACCTAATAAATAAGCCGTTGATAAATATTTTTATTTTACAAGTTTTTCGGCCTGTTTTAAATATTCAAATTGCCTTTCCAAATGCATCAAAAAAAAAAAAAAAAAAAAAAAAAAAAAAAAAAAAAAAAAACAATCCACCGAAATAGTAATCATATCATTAATAAAACAATAATTTTAAGATGCGACTAATTAATTAAATCGCTCGTAAAAAAATACTTAATACTTACTTTAAGAATAAGAACAATACGATTAAGGCGTTTGAGAATTTCCAAAGTTCTTGACTCGTCAATGGCCTCGGAACTGTGCAAATTATTCTCATTAAGGATACGGGCTTGTGCATACTTTTCGTGAAGTTTCTCTTCATTACTAAAGAGTGCTCGAACAGAATCGAGTTCGAAGATAATTTGTTTGAACCACAGTTCGTAGGCTGAAATTGAATGTTACTTTTATTTAACTAAACTTATGAATTGATGGCAAAATTTTAATGGCAAACGTAGACGCGAATAAGGTAATAATAAAAATTTATCAACAACATTGAAGCTATAAAATATTTATTTTAATCCTGATTAATTATCATATTTCCAACGTATAATTATGTCAAATATATTAGGCAAGAACTTTAACTTTAAAGATAATTATTACAATGCTCTGCTCCTACTACCTTGATGCGTCACAATAAATAGATGCTCATCGTGAACTTCTTTATCGTATTCACTGCTGAGTAATCTTTGGGCCGACAAAACTTTATCTAGTAAAAGATATTCGCTGTACAATAGTCCAGGACCTTTCGTCAAACATGAACCGATTTGATTCGTATCGTCTCTGAAGGTTAATTCGTGATTATTTAACACATATTATGTTACGCATATTATATTATAAGTTTCTACATTAAATAATAATAACAACAACAACAATAATAATAATAATAATAACAACAACAATAATAATACTTAAGTATAAAAAAAAAAAAAAAAAAAAAAAAAAAAAAAAAAAAATCTTCTCATCGCCGAGTGTAATTTGATATTATCGCCTCGTCTCGTTTATAATTTTAATATGAGAAAAAAAAATCTATTTATCCAGATAATGATCTATAAAAAATTTATAGAATTTTATAATTTCAATTATGACCTTCTATTAAATACGTTTATAGTGAAATAATTATGTTTGTTTTTCATTAAATTATTTCGATATAAAATTTTCGTATAACATGCAAGAGAAAAATATTGATTTGTAATAAACATTTGATGATGATTAAATTAAACATTACATAATTCGTAAGATAGTGAACAAATTTAATTCTACGCGATGAATTATATGTTTAAGTAATGATTCGGTATACGCTTTCGCGTTATTATTAATTTCTTCCCTTGTATCTATTATATTAGAATAGCAACACCTCAATATTATTGACATTAAAATTTCAATTATTATAAAGTGGTAAATTATACAAATTATACAAATTATACAAATGTGCAAAAATAGAAAAAATTAAATAATAAATTTAGTGAAAATGTAGTTTTACAAGAATATTATTATTATTATTAATTTATAAATAAAAAAAGTTTAATTATTATATAGTCAAAACATTATTCCGCTAATGCCTATGTATAATGCTAATTATGCCGCAATCGTGTGATGCATTTATTAGTAAATGGTAAATTAATGAATTAGTGAAAAAATGTTTAATAAATTTCACATACGTTCCATTATCCATTGGACATGCCATAGTTTATAAAAAAATTGTATAAACACCAATCTTTTTACGACTACTAAACCTTTACACTTTCACGTACTTTTTGCAAATACAACGAAATTAATAGCTCGATCAATAATTATTTAAATATAATTTTTTCCTATTCGTGCATTACAATTTCATTTACTACAATCGAAGTATATTTAATTTTATTTATTAATTTTCTATGTGCACTTCTTTATTGTTTCTATCTGTTTTTGCAGAAATTCACAAAACGACAACGAGGCGGTCGACTAGTGACTGACGTTTAAAATCGAAGGCGCTGCTCTTTTAATGTTCGCCGAATCCTCCTTACGTGTGGAAAATATAATGTAAACGCGATTGCTTTCAAGAAATGAGATATTTTTATCAAAATAAACATATTAGATCTGTCAAAGCTTATAGATTAATTTTACTAATTTACAAGACGTCACATCCATCCAAGTAAACAACACTGCTTTAGTTAATTTATTGATAATTCAGAATGCTAAATATTAACAAATTGTAATAAAATTTTCTAGACACCAGCATCAGATTCAATGTAATAAAAAGGCTATTTTCATAGATAGTGTTGAATTTCTCATTTTAGAGTAATGGATACGTGCACGTATAATATATCTTACTGCTTATATTGAATTTGAAATTACAATTACATTGAAATTAGATGATATTGAAATTCTAGATATTTATATGTAATTCTGTAAAGTAATTGTGCAGCGATCCATACAAGTGAACTTCCAAATTAAATAAAGTAATCCAATTCAACGAAATTTAGAAAATATAATTTTCACTAAAGTTTGCTAATGCTATTGCAAAAGTAGATAACTTTAAATACAATAAATTATAAATTCCTATTAATAATTAATCCTTAATATATTAATTTTATCATATTACATTATACCATATCATATTATATTATAATACGGATATTGGAATAAAATTTTATAAATTTAATAAAATTATACTTATCATTTTCAAATAATACAAACGATATTACTTAAATTTTTACAATCTCCATTAGTCGATAAATAGAATTAGTTTAAGTAAAATAAACATTGCGAAGAGTAGTTTTTATAATTTTTTTGCTATTATAAAACTCAGCTACAAACGTTAATCAAGAAGAATTCGTTAAATAATGAAATCAATCAAATACTAATCTTATTGATAATCTGAAGTATTATTGTCGTGCAGTAGCGAAGATACTATAGTTTACTAAATATTTATTTTATTGTTGCTATTAAATATTAACGTCCGAAATAACAATGAATAAAATCAATCAATTTTTATATGTATTAAGTAAAGTTGCTTTCGTTAACTTTAAACATTGAAAATCTGTATTACATCGTGTTTACATATTTATATTAAATATTTACAAAAATAAAAAATTAATTACATATAATTTCGAACACTTGTCGCAATACATTAGAAAGCATTTCGTTAAAATTCTTATACCTTATTTCAAGGGAGTTATTTTAAAAATTGTAACAGTTAATTTCCCTCTGTTAATTTCAAATTTGCCGCGCAGCAATTAACGTCTAATTGGAACGTACTTTTCATTGCGCAGAATCGAAATTTCACTAGGTGATTGCGCCTAAAAGTCCCAAATGCTTCATTTCTCTTATCATCTCATACTTCACAGCTCACAGTCTCTCATGTTCGTCAATCGTGTTCGTTGGTATTCGTGTTGTGTCGTCGCCGTTGCGTGAGCAATATATAGTCAATCATGGGGTAAGTTAAATAAATATTAATAATTATTGAATACTGATAATCAAAACGTAATTAGGTGCAATTATCATTTTCTCCATCGGGCCCGAAACCTATAACATATTATTATCAGATAAATAATGGGTATAACGGCTGCGAGAAACTACCGCGGTGACCAAACTAAAAAAAAGCTTGGATTGCGAAAAGTGCCCAAGCAAAGCATTTTTACTTAACGAATACGTGGAGTGAACGAACTCGTTTATTTTATTTTCAACGAAAGAATCGCTCGCCATGCTGTGAAATAAAATGTTCGTTCCGTTTGAATTATAATTTAAAGGGAAGTGATCTCCTTTATTTGTTTATTCAGCAATCATCTTTTTTTGAACCTTTATTTTGCTTGTCGGCGACGGCTGGGGGAGGGGGGCTTGCACGGAGCTAACGCGATATCGATGTTTGATCGATGTTTGCTGTATGTTTTTGTAGGAACTCCGATGTAGAATGCGTCAATGATTCGAGAAAAGATCCAGGCGAAGTCGCAGCTTCGGAAGTTCCAACAGAGCAGCGAAAAAAGAAAAAGAGGAAACATAAACAACATCATAAACACAAAAAAGATAAGGTAGCCGATCGAATTGATACAAAAACAGATAAACAGGAAAAGTATGAGTCCATTCTATCTACATACAATTATTAAATTTTTGCAATTAATAATAATTTTTATGTATATTGTTAATACAGAAAGAAACATAAAAAACGTAAGCGGTCTAAAAAAACTAAAGAAAATGAAGAGAACGCTAATGGAGCGGTTATCAATAAAATTGTTACACAAATTGTTAATCAGAAGGAAATTAATGGTAAGGTTAATAATTCGGTGCTCGAAATTGGCGAAACCGAAGACAGCGAAGAGGAAAAGTTAGTTGATTTAGATTCTGACGAAGTCGATTGTACTATTATCGAAGATGATATAGATTTAGAAGAGCTAATGAAACAAAAGGTTAATAGTTATTCTTTGATTATAATTAATAAGTAACAATATGTAAAATGCAATGTAATTATGAAAGAGATGTTAGGTATCGTTAAAGATTATAATGTTATAAATTAACATTAATATCGCATGACGTTCATAGATGGTGAAAATGTCCAAAATATATAGAAAAATATATGTGAAATCGCAAAATTCCTAATTAAATCGTTGTATTTTGTGTATTTTAGGAACGTCTTCAAGCATGTTTGGTACAGTACCTGTCCGATGAGTCCGATAAGGATGAGAAAGATGGAGAGCGGAATAAAAAACCAGAAATGCCTGACGTTATACTCGTTGAGGATAGTGGAGACGAGACTCAACCACGAAAGAAACGCCGTAGAAGCTCATCGGGGAGTAGAGAGCACAGAAAAACCTTAAAAACCGATAGACGTGTTGTTGTTGATATGGGTAGAGTAGAAAAGAGGAGTATTCACGAATCTGACAGACGTAGGGACTCTGATAGGAAGCGAGATGAGAAGCCAAGAAGCAGAGATGAAATAAAAAGAGACGAGAGACAAAATAAGAAAATATTTGAAAAATCTAAAGATGACAGCAGAAAGGATGATTCTATTAGGAAGAAACTGGAGGACGATAGGCGCAAAGAAGCTAATAAAAAAGATGAATTACGGAGAAGAGAACACGAGAAGAGGTATGAAATTTTACAAATTGCGCATTATTACTAGTGAAATTACGTACATAATTTTTACTCATAAAATTGAAAACAACGTCCTATTCGAATAAGAAACAAAAAATATAGAACCAAAATGATTTAAAAGAGCTACGAGCTCTTTCGAGGTCAGAAGTACTTGTACTAATTAACATAAATAACATAAATTCATTTAATTTACTTAATTTAAAAAATAATTAGTAAATTCTAATTATTTAGCTTATTCTATCATATAATTAACTTCATATTGTTTAATAAGTATTTGGGAAAAATTTATCTTACTTTGACGGTAATAATCGTTTGATCTCTAAGCTGAGTTAATAAGTGAATAATTAAGATGTACAATGCGCTACGACATCCAAGACTTCTTTAATACTTGCCATAACATTAAGCTTTAAGCCATTAAAATTTAATACTAAACAGGAAGTATGTAAAATTATAAAATGAAATTGCAGGGAGGACGAGCGGAAGCGCGAGTTGGAAAAAAGCAGTGGAAGTGCGCGAGCCAACCACGAGTCAAAGCAGAAGGAGATGGTGCGCTCGTCGAGGCGCGACAGCAGTCGAGACCGACATCTCAATCACGACTTACGAGGACGTGAGCGGCGAGACAGCAGGGATCGACACCGGGATAGGAGCAGAGACCGGATCGATTCACGCAGGAATCATGACAGACGAGATAGATCGCGTAGTTGCAGAAGGTCCAGGAGCCTCGGAAGGCCAAGGTTATTAACTATAGCTTTGATCATATTCGTTTAATAAGCTGAGGCAACGTTGTTCTTTCTTACGCATTGTCAATAGATTTACTTTAAATAATACTCAATACTTTTGAGGGAAAGGGACTGGGGAATGGATAAATCCTCCAGAACAAACACCTCGATAAATATGGTAGAGCAGATGTGATTTTATTTTTTATAAGTATTAAAAATTTGTGCGAATGATGGAAAAGTATCCAAAAAATAACCAAAAGTAACAAAAAATAACCAAAAATAACCAAAAAATAATCAAAAACAACCAAAAATAACCAAAAATAATAAAAAAATAACCTGAAATAACCAAAACAAAAACAAAAAAAAACAGAAATAACCAAAAATAACCAAAAATATGTGAAAATAATGTTGGCAGGGACCGAAGCGATCGTTACAGAAGATCGAGATCGCACTCACGAGGTGCTCGCAGGGATCGTGACAGACACGGTAGGGATCATGATCGGGATCGCGAAAAGAACGGCAAGCGCGAACGTAACGATAAATTTAAGGATTCTTTGTCCGAGGGTCTAAAGATTGATCGCTCGGAAAGCTCGAGCGAGGAGGACATCAAGGACATTGATATAGAAGAGGATGAAGACGAGGAGGCAATTATTGAGCGACGCAGGAAACAGAGGGAGGAATTACTAAAGGTGAGCAAACGTGTATTAACTAAAGATTAAAAAGAACGATCTTCATGTCGCTCGTTGTTCAATTCTTTTTTATTGAAATCAATGATTGAATGAAGCAATGGGCGATTTGGATGCAAAAAATAAACGACATTATATTATTATTTTTATAATACAACGTGAAATTTTCTCTAAACCGGGAATTTGAAGAATTCACGAGACTCGACGGCATTCTGTCGATTACAAGGAAGCACCGATCCAGAAATGATAATTTATTAATAATTTTGTTATAATAATTGATCGCACGGCTCAAACTAATAAAAAAAAAAAGACGACGAAACAGTGCAAAAGTCGCTAAAAAAGAAGTTATTCGCTAAAAGACTCTTATTTCATGCCAATTTCTTAGCGTATGATCAATTAACTTAATAATTATTAAGAGATTTCGTTTTAAAATCTGTTTTTTTTTTTTTTTAATTATTATTATTATTATTATTATTATTATATTTTTTTTTATACAGAGATTAGGGGCACCAAACGAAGATTCAAATTTCTCGTCGGATTTGAACGTCACGAGGTCACCGCCATCCGAAAGACAATCCAATACATCAAGTAAGTCAGCGGAGCCTTTGTTAAATAATAATAATGGATCTGCCTCGGAAAGTCATACGCCACCACTACCGGATAGAAGGAGGAGATCCAAAGGTGATGAAAAAGTCAGTAGCGAGAAGCAGGATGAGATTAAGGCGAACGAGAAGAAGCTGGAAGACAAACAGAATTCGAAGAAATCCAATGAATGGGATATGTTCGCAGAGGTTGATAACATCGGTGACTTTAATGTGAGTTCTTTAATGGCTACTCCTCGCCATTTTGTTGACATTATATTATCTGTTGATTAATAATCTCTTCAACTGCTCTTGCAACTCTATTTATTGAACGGATGAGTCGTCGATAAAAAAAAAAAAACAATTAATTATACAAACATTTTTATTCGTAATAAATTCGTAATTTTTATTCTGATCAATTGATTCGATCAATTAATTTTATCTTTTTTGCAGAGTCCAACAGTAGAAGGTGGTAAGCGTCAAGGTGGGCCTGACAATCCAAGTTTAACCGATAATTGGGACGATGCCGAAGGCTATTATAGGTATGACAATTTTGGCTGTAAATAGCGTTTTTCAAAAACGTGAACTATTTATGTGATAAACTAGTTATTTATATTTCATGATGTTGTTTGTTCTTTCAGAGTTCGCGTTGGCGAAACCTTAGACTCCCGATATATTGTTTATGGTTACACGGGACAGGGTGTTTTTAGTAATGTTGTTAGAGCGAGAGATACAGCTCGGGGTAATTTAGACGTCGCTGTTAAAATAATTAGGAATAACGAAATAATGTAGGCCTGTTTCTCCTTTTATCATTATATGCAATTTGATTCGACCATATTTTTAAAATTAATTACGAGTAATTGTATTTTTTTGTTCACAGGCACAAAACAGGCCTTAAAGAATTAGAAATTCTTCGAAAATTAAATGACGCTGATGCAGAGGACAGATTCCATTGTTTAAGATTATTTAGGCATTTCTTTCATAAGAATCATTTATGTATGGTTTTTGAATCATTAGCGATGAATTTAAGAGAAGTAAGTGTGTCTTAATTATTTTGATCTTCTGATTTTTAGAGCATTTTTATTAATTGAAATCTATAATAATGTATTTTAATATCCACGATTCCACGATATTATAATTTATTTTACTTGCACGCTTTATAGGTACTAAAGAAATATGGGAAAGACGTTGGTTTGCATGTTAAAGCTGTTAGATCGTATACCCAACAATTGTTCTTAGCACTAAAGCTTCTTAAAAGAGCAAATATTTTACATGCTGATATTAAACCAGATAATATTCTAGTCAGCGAAAGTAAGCTAGTACTAAAATTATGTGATTTTGGTTCTTCGTCATTCGCTCATGAGAACGATGTCACCCCTTACCTCGTCTCAAGATTCTATCGGTCACCAGAAATTAGTAAGTATTTATTTCATCGCTCTCAAGACCTTTTAATAACCTTGCGACATACTTTTGTAAATGCAAAGTTTATATTTAAAATCTTTATATTATGTTGAAATTATTTTTTACATTGCCGATTGACACATTCAAGAACATGTTCTGCGTATCTCACTACTCTTAAAGAACTAATAAAATTAGGAAGAGACGTAAAATTTAGTGACGTTATTATTTATACTAGCTGACGCACACTGTGCATATAAAATTGAATATATTAGTAAAATTGGGATCATTGATCGATCAGTGATAAAGCAGCCATTAATGATAATTATTTTTTAGTTCTTGGTATACCTTATGATTTCGGCATCGATATGTGGTCTGTCGGATGCACAATCTATGAACTTTACACTGGTAAAATTATGTTTTCGGGCAAAACAAATAACCAAATGTTGAAGTTCTTCATGGATTTAAAGGGAAAAATGCCTAATAAGCTCATCAGGAAGGGCCAATTCAAGGATAAGCATTTTGACACAAACTGCAATTTTCTATACCAAGAAGTAGATAGAGTCACAGAACGGGTAAGTAAAATTTAATTATGTAATGTAAACTCATCAAATACAATTACGCAATATCCAATATAAAGTTTCAAAGACCTTGAATTTAAATCGGAGTATGGAATGAAAGTAGATGCTAATTTGAATTGATATTTATAATAAAGATTGCATAGATTGAAAATATAAGTAAATATAGATGACTTAATGCATAATGCACACGAATATGCATAAATGCATAAATTAAGAAAATGGATGTGCGATTATTGAATTAGTAGTTTAATAATAGTTGATGCTATGGATTCGAGTTCGATATTAAAAGTTTAATATGTAAGCATAGGTAGCATGGGCTCTTACAATTTTTCTCAACAATTGTAAATATTTAATATTGTACTATGTAATTGTAGAATAGAGGGGCTGAGAGGGGTTGAGAGGGGTTGAGAGGGGTTGAGAGGGGTAGAGAGGGGTAGAGAGAGAGAGAGAGAGAGAGAGAGAGAGAGAGAGAGAGAGAGAGGATCGACAAACCGAGACATTTATGATTTTCAGGAAAAAGTGGTCCAAATGTCAACGCTCCCAGCAACGCGCGACCTTGGTGTTGAATTAGGTGGGAGCTCGTTGCCCCCGGAACAAGCCCGCAAAGTTGCACAACTCAAGGACCTGCTTGAGCGCACGCTCATGCTGGACGCCGGCAAGAGGATAACCGTCAATCACGCGCTGGCGCATCCCTTTATACAAGAAAAGATCTAGGTAACCCATCGTGTCGCCAAAATCTTGACACCCTTCGCTACTCTCGCCACCGGCGAAGAGTGGCATAGAGGTGAAGGGGAGAGTTTGTGTGTACATGCGTGGGTATGTTAGAAAGAGTGAGGACGAGAAGGAGAGATAGAGGGAGAGGGTGAGAGAGAGAGAGAGAGAGAGGGAGGGAGAGAAGGAGAGTGAGAGTGAGAGAGATTGAGTGAGAGTGAGATAGTGAGATAGATAGAGAGAGAGAGAGAGAGAGAGAGAGAGAGAGAGAGATAGATAGATAAACGGGGCAAACGGAGAAAGAAAGGCAGCATCATCATCGAGTTTGTACATTTTTAACGGCGTCGCCGCTTCGCATTGATATTATCTACTTTTGTTTCTTCTCGTTGATGAAGAGTACTTTAAACACATTGCCAAACTTGAGAGGTATGAGAAACAGATTCCTGATTTAATGTCGCGAGGGCGGTTTTCATTGGTGCTTTGAATGCAACTTTTGAAAATTCTACAGTAATATTAAATATTACTTTTAATTTAATGAATGTGCTATACCGATCTTAACCCCCTATTTAAAGAATACTTAAATTTACTGCAGAAATAACAAATTATGGACCCTCGTTATAATGTCATCTAAGACGATGATTAATAGACCTTGCGTTGATTCAGAAATTTTTTAAAACTAAAATCATTTATCGATGTGCGATCCAGATAGTCGATTGCACCATGAAAATTTATATTGCATATTCTAGTGAAATAAGAGATTGTCTGTAACTCTCAAAGTATTTTAACCTACATGAGTTTTTTTTTTTTTTTCATAATTTCACCCAATTTTTTTAATTGTATATTTAATATTTACAATAATTAATAATAATTTATAATATAATATTTACGATATATATAGAAAGTAATTAAAAAATTAATTCTAAAAGATTGTTTTCGTAATTTCTTTATGACATTGAAAAAATTTCTTTTAAATCAAATTAAGACAAAATTATTATGTATAAGTCGACGACAACGACGACGACGACGACGACGACGATGACGACCACAATAACAACAACAACAACAACAACAACAACCATAACAACAAACAGATTCCTATAAATGTGTTGTACTGCGGATTTGCATTGAATAACAATTGTAAATACTTTTTAATTTATGTAATTATTCAAGTCCATCAACCTAATTCGATACTTACTATTTATTACTTTATTAGGTTTTAAGGAAGTACATTAAAAGCAGCACTAAGGGGAAATCATTGTCGATTAATGACTTAATTTACACGATAGTTGGAATTAATTATAAAACATTGTAGAATAGATTTAAAAATAATAAAAAAAATTATTAAATAAATAAATAAAAATAGTATGTTTGATTCGGAACTTACATAAATTAAATTATTTTCTATTTACTATTTTTTGATATGTGAATTCAGTACATTAACAGAACAGAACAGAAAATATAATGTTCACAATCTCACAATGGGTTGTGATATCAACGACAAATAATAATAATAATAATAATAATAATAATAATAATAATAATAATAATAACAATAACAATAATAATAGCAATGTTACTTATAAAGTTTTGAAAGAAATTTTTTGTTCCAAAATGCAAAAAAACTATTTTTAAGAATTAACCAAAAATTGAAACATTGTATTATAACCATTTTCTTATCAAATTATGTCAATTAATTTATTTTTCACAATATTTGTTCGTACTACCATAGTTCACTATTTCTTTTAAATACAATAAAATAATTTTCAAAAGTAATTAAAATTTGAATCTGTATTGTTAAAATTGAATTTTACTTTAATCATTTATTATTATTAGCATTGCATAATGTATACAATATTATTATGTGAGAATTATATAAAATAATATATATATATATATATATATATATATATATATATATATATATTAAAAGAAAAAGAAAGGAAAAGCAATTGTTTATTTTTAAACTAGGACAAAACATTAAGTTAAATATAAACAATTTTTAATGGCTGAAGAAATTAATATTAATATACAGAACTAGTATTGTTGAAACATTGGATCGCAAGTATTTTCAAGAGATTATAATGCCAATGAATATTAATATTTATGCTAAAAACGAATTTTAAATCGCCCTCGCGAATTTTTAACTATAACAATGAATGCAAATAATTTAAGTGGTTGATATACTTTTCTTTATTGCTCACTACTACAAAATTTATACATGAGGCAATAATGATGAATTTTATACAATATTTCTCATATAATTGTACGATATATTTATTAATCAAACGACATATATATAGCACAGCAATTGTTGTGTATCTCCATGAACGTGACAACAGAAGCAACGCTGAAGTCATAACGCGTTCGAAAAACATTATCATCATGAATTTTCGATCAGATTTATGCTATCGAAATACGTGACACATTAATGAAATTAAATTAAAAGCAAAAAGTTCCAGTTCTCCAAGTATATATTCGAGCGAAACGAGTTTTTGATGTACTAAAGAATGTGAATGAAGGTGTATAGCGTTTAGGAATTAAAAATGATTAATATAATAGAAAGGCACATGCATAATATTACATAATCGAAAGCAAAAGAAATTAATGAAAACGTTAAGTTAATAATGAAACATTCTTATTATATGTTATTATATGTTAATTACCAAAAATCAAAAAATAAAAGATGTTTGATTTACACGTCGGCCTCAAAAGTGCTTTTATGACTCTGTATGCTTCACGACTTTTGATGCCGATGAATCGGGATAGATATAAAAGAAAAACAAAAAAAAAAAAAAAATTTTTTTTTCTTTAACGCGCCTAATATAATTGCGACCAAGTTTTCAAATGACTTTCTTTCTTCTTCTTTTTTTTTTTAATTTAAATATGTGATTAATTTTTGAAATAATCATCGTTCAAAACCGAATTATAAGATTTCATAGTTGTGCAACATTTTGTCAGTAGAAGAGATTGTCTCTATTAATTTATTTTTATGTAATAAAGTCAAGTTTATAAACGCACAATAATTGATTGTTTTCTTAAGAATTTGTAAGATAATTTTTTATGTGCTAGATTACTCAATCGCTTGTTACTTCTTTTTCACTTTTTTTTTTTTTTTTATTTTTTTTTATTATTATTATTATTATGTTAATTTAATTTAATTTAATTTAATTTTATTTTTTCTATTACTTACTATAATGTCTGTAATTTTTCATTGGAAATTATTCATTTATAAAGCTGTGAGGTCTGTTGTTTCAAAATTTTACGATTTATCAATTTATGATTTCTCGACGCAAATGAAACATATTCACGTCACTGAATCATATGTCGAAAACCATGTTTTTTTTATTATTATTATTAATTTTTATTTTATTTTTATTTTTTATTTTTTAAATATTCTTACATAAAAATAATGCAAATTAATTGCACGCATAAGCTGTTTACGTTGGTTTCGGTTTTTAAACCTTGTCTCGAAATATCATAATCTAAAAGCCCATCATAACTTTGAAGCTTCTTTATCATTAAAAATGAGATTAGATGTATAAGCGCTTCATTTAAGTTAAAAATAAGTATATAAAATAAAGTAAAATAAACAAAAAGACAAAACAAAAAAAAAACAAAAAAAAAACAAAAAATTAACAAAAGACCGATAACATAATAATGGCTCATCAAAAAGTTATTATAGATAACTGGATTGTACGAAGCTGCTTATGTTTCAGATCGGTCTTCACGACTTGAATCATCGGTTAGTGCGAGTGGACCTTTACATGGGCCTTTAGCTGTTCCCGTTGCAAGGTATTCATTGGGACTGCCTTTTGGGAGATTTTTGTCCTAATCAATCATTTGTATATATATATATATATATATATATATATATATATTATACGCGTGCTCTCGTACATTCATTTTAAACAAATAACTAACGAAATAACTCAAATATGATTAATTACAAAATAAAAAGTACACAATAAATGGAAGTATACTTTTATCGTAAGTTAGTTGAGTAAAATTGTTCATGGAATGCTGGGTTATCTTAAATTTTTGAAAATATAAGGCACTATGTATTGGATGCATTTGTATAATTTGTATAAAGTGTTGACTTGTATGATGGCGAATATATCTTCGTGTCTGTTAATATTATCTTCGTTGTTTTTCAATTTACCGTGCGAGAATACATTCACGTAAAATCATAAACAATTTCCTTGAGATTTAACGATATTAAATATTGCAAGTTTCTCAAAAATTGATGATAAGCCAGATTTCTTGCATGATAATATTCGCAAAAAGCCCATAATTTCCTTTTTTTAGTTCTTGATTAGAAAGCGTATTTTTCTATTTTCATTGATTATAATCAAGATGTGCGTAAAATAAAACAAAAATAAATAATCAACCAATATCAATAAAAAAGAGAAAAATCAAAGCTGGAATTAGTTGAATTACTTTCTAATTAGAAATTTGGTAATGTTTCACTTGTAGCCCTCCCTGAGCGGAGGGGAGAGATGGAAGAGAAAGAAAGAGAGAAAGAGAGAAAGAGAAAGAGAGAAAGAAAAATGAAAGAAAATAATGGATTTTTGAGAATAATGAGATGAAATGGATCAAGTTGAGCGTTTAAAGCTGCATTAGACTCCCAACTGCCTAAATACAACCATCTACAATTCAAAATTGTGTTAAATGTCGCTCTCTACGCGCTAAAGAGTATTAGTAAGTATGACTTGTGGGGCAGGTAAGGTGTGAATTACTAGAAGTAAACACTTTGATCTAATTACTTCCTAATGAAGTAACCTTTCCATAGGCTCTCACTACTCATTAGCGTTTATTTAATAAACATATCTATGAAGTTTCAGGTATCATTGTTCGATTAACGAGAAGAATTTCTTAATCAAAACTTAATCATTTTACTATCACGAAATTGAAATATGTGCCGTGTATGAAATTAGAAAAGTCACATAGCCATACAAGACCTCAGTATTTGTTTTAAATGCAAGAATAATGGTAATAAAATTCAATTTTAGAGAAATACAAATGGCATATTGTGTTTTTAATCCTAAGAAAACTTCCACTCCTTATTAACAATTCAAATAAATTAAAATTACTATTAAGATTTCTTCGTTATATTTTTATAATATTCACTGATAATGATGAATTTCATTAGTGTTTAATGTTTTGCTTATTAAAGAATAGAAATTTAATAAATTTATTTTATTTACTTTACAAAGAAAGAAAGAAGCGCAGAATAAAAATAATACAGAAGGTTCATTTTATCTATGAATTTTTCGTTCTCACTGTTAAGGATAAAATTTTAAAGTAATGAATTTTAAAAAGTTTACAATGAATTCTAAAGATAAAGTTTAGAATTAATACGATAATAATGACAATCATTTATAAGAATTATTTTATGTTATCATAATATCGATCATTGTGTAGTTAAGTACGTCGTTTCATTTATAATTACGCAAATATGTTGATTTTTTTGTTCTTCCTAATGACCAAACTCTTTGACATTCTTTCTCAATTCTGAAAGTAAAAATCTCGTATAATAATTATCTTTTATAAAATGCATATTAAATACAATTAACAAAGTTTAAAATATAAGAAAAACAAACATATGATCATGTATCAAATGTTTAATTAATATTGTTCTGTAAATATATATTGCTTTTGAAATATATTGTCTGATCACAGTTGGAATGTTATCGAATAGCGGATGGTCTAGATAAAAGATATGAAAAAAGAAAAAAAAAACTAATAAAGATCCAAAGTATTTATATTAAATTTATTAAATACATTTTTTCAATCGATAATACCATTCGATAAATACCTTAATTTTAACTAATTAAATAAATATATCTATGTATTAAAAGAAAAAGAAAAATAAATAAATAAAATTGGTTCATACATGGCAGTATATGAAATTATTATTATTATTGTGTTTATATAGAAACGATTAAGGCTGAAAACATAAGGAACGAAAGTAAATTTACATATTTTCTTGAATTTCAATTCATTACACATAAATCAATGATAAATAATTTGCCTATTGATGAAATTGGATTGTTGCATGCATTGGAAAATAATTTTTGTTTTCACGCAACTTCGAATAAAGCAAAACAAAAAATGAAAAAAATGAATCAAAAAATATTTTCAACAAAAGAGTGCTGTAATAGTTATAATATGAATGTACAACAAAGAAAATACTCAGAAATATCACGTGTCGTCCAACAATTGCAATAATGAAATTTTCGATAATTGAAAGTTGTATAAGCAATGTATTATAAATTTAAAAATATTTACATTACAATTATATAATAAAAGTATTGAATTTATTTGTAAAACATATTAAAATTAATGTCGCTAATACAATCGTAATAATAGCGAATTTCTTTCTCGAATGATATATCCGTATTACTGTGTTGCGAAGGGAAATAATAGCCACATTGTTTACATTCGTTTGATTTATTTGCAACATGAGCAGACTTAACACATGTACACGCGCGCGCGCACGCACATCCACGACTATTTGGCATCTAATGTATACAGATTATCATCGTTGCTTTTATTTTTCTAAACAATAATAAATAAATCTGCCTCTCTTGGAGATAAGGGTGATGACGGTCGAACGATTAATTGTAATCGATTAATTGAGTGACAGATTAAATTATCGATACTTATGAATTATTTAACCGATATAAGGGAGTATGAGTTAGCTTATTTTCGCTAAGCTTTTCCTTCGATAAAGTCGACGGCGGCGCCGGACACACGCGATGCCCGACACTCGAACCGGCGATTACGAATATTAAAAGTACAATAGCTAGCGCTTCTAGAGGCGCTAATAATTTATTTATCGCAAATTATCGCTCCTTTATCTCGGGAATTCCAAGACTGCCTTACTAATTTATCCGCCTTGGCTGCTCACGCACTGAATATTCCGTAATCAGATACGATGAAAGCTCCAATTTTCTTTCACCTTTCTTTCTTTCTTTCATTGCAAAAGGTGAAAATGATATAGAAATTTGTCCACATTTGGCTGATGACAATTTTCGTTGATGAAAGCTCGACGAAAGCTCGACGAAAGCTCGAAAGAGAGAGGGAGAGAGAGAGAGAGAGAATATGTCAAAAAGAGGCTCCAGGCGCGCTTGCAATTACTTTGTTATTGCAATGATGCGGCAGAAATTGATGATGTCCAGAAGTTTGTTAAATGATCGGCAAACACATGGACGGTGCTTTAAAGCACAGCTTTTTCTTAGGCGACGCGTCCAATGTGCGAATGGAGAACGGCACTCTAAGCAATTGCATTAAGTGCGCGCGCTCGGCCCGACAATATCCTAATTTATAAATTTATCTCAAGTGATTAATAAACTCGATTGAGCAGACAGACCATCGCTGTGAGCTTTATAGGAGCAGAAGGTAGTATGCGTGGAGCAAGGAGCAAGGAGCAAGGAGCGAGGAGCGAGGAGCGAGGATTAGTCGGCTGGGATCGATAGTTCGTTAGTGGGTCGAAGAGGCTTTTAAAATTAATAACCGTCCCCTAAGAAATAATAAAATTGGAAAAATATGACGGTTAGGTGTTGGAGGAGGCGGGAGAGAGGGATGGTGGGAGGGAGGAAGGGAGTGAGAGAGAGAGAGAGAGAGAGAGAGAGAGAGAGA